TAGTTTTAGGCTGTGTAATCCCGTGTTTGAAGAATATGGTAAGCAAACTGATGACGAATACCTTGGTTCAATATACTCTCCTGAGACAAAAAGAGGAGCTTGCAGAAGATAAATATATTGCCTGATAAAGTTGGTTTCATTATGATTTCAACAATGAAAATTACGGTTTCTGTAACCATTGTTGTTTGATGTTCTTGTTATCAACTCAGATTTTATTATCCTTTATTGTTATAATCATTTAAGGTGAACTCCGTTTGAACGGGGGGGTGGGGGGGGGGGGTGGATAGGTAAAAACTGATTGTCAAACAGAGTTACCTCAAGCCTTATTTACATTTAAATGTTTGCTTCAGGTACTTTTGTTCTATTATATGGAGGCCAAACCGGCCAAACCGGCCAAACCGGGACTCTCTTATGCAGGAACGCCGTCCTGCCAGACCAAGAGACTCGATCTATTATCTGAAGAATCCCTTTTGTATTTTGTGGATTCCTGAGGCCAAGGGGGGTTTTGAGGAATTTATGGCTGTGTGTGTGTTCTTGCAAATAAATTCGCTCCAGAGTTTCGGCTCGGTGTGAGAGGAAACTGGCTTTCTACTGGTGTGGATTGATTCTTCTCACCCTTTGCAAAGTATCTCACACTTTGCAAAGTATGTGTTTGTTGTCTGTTTAAGGGTTGTTTACAATTTAAGAAAATTATCAATCTAAATACTCTGCGTGCTTTGACATTTCTTTGAGGTAATATGGGAGTAATATAAAAATTACCCAACAGTCAATGTCATATATATTCACTGTCAATGCTGTTGGTTAATGAATAACATATGTTGCATGGTCAATTGGAGGAAAATATTATTTCCCTGGGATTTCTACACTTGTTTCACTGACAGTTCTCTGCTGGACCCATTCTGACTCTTTCTGTAGAAGTACAGCTTCTACCTAAGCACATACTGAAAATTTTGATGTAATTCTTTGGTATCTTAAAATAATGTGTGCAAATGAAACTTGAAAAATTTGAATATGATGCAAAAGTCCATTAAATGCAGAACTGACCACCACAGGAAATCCTTTGTACCGGTGGCAATTGGACTGTTTAACTCTTCCTCACGCTGTAGGTGATTCTCCTAATACCTTTACCTAGGTTACACTGTTCCCTCACCGACTGTGCAATATTACCCAAGAGTTCTGATTGTAAATATGTTTTTATCCCCCATCATATCATATGCTGCTACAAACCCTTATTCTTTTACACAATACTTTAATCACTTTTGTGAATCGCCTGCACCGACGGCTTAATTACTTATTCACAAGGATGCAGTCATGTATTTAATTATTGAGATATGCGATTGTTTGTTTTGCACTATCCTACATGGTACTACTGTAGATCTTTTTTTTAATGAATATATTGTATATCATATTTCTATTTCACCTGTTCCTTTGTCTCTCCAACTGCTTTGAGCATGTACATGACACAAGAATTTCCCTCGGGATAAATAAAGTTGTTCTTATTCTTATTATTCTTATTCTTAATGTCAGCATTCCAGTTTAAGACTCAGGAATGCATTGCAGGTGTTTTGGATGCATTAGCTGATTAGAGTGGCTAGGTGGCACAGTTGTTAGCACTGTTGCCTCTCAGCACGAAGGTCGCAGGTTCGAAACTTGGCTGCGGCCTTTCTGCGTGGAGTTGCGTGTTCTCCCCATGCATGCGTGGGTTTCCTCCGGGTACTCCGGTTTCCCCCACAGATCACAACATGCCCTATAGGTTATAAATTGTAAGTCGCTTTGGATAAAAGCGTCTGCCAAATAAATAAACATAAACATAAACATAGAGTGTGACGCTTAGAGTCAAGAATATTGAACCGTTTTTACAATATTCTAATTGTCTACGATTTTGAATGTGGGGTTTCCTTCAGCTGTAAGCCATAGACATCACAGTTATAACAGATAAAGGCTGAAATATCTGGCATTGGTAGGAGTCTTTCTCATCAATTAGTTTCACCTTTAAAGATGACTTACTGATACTGAAATAAATTACCTTTTGCACCAGATTCTCAGTTTCACCTGTATTTTTGTGTAAAATAGTACAACTTTGAAAAGGGATTTATTGCAATCTGCTAGTATTTTTCATGCCTACATTTTTTACACACAGACTATACGATTCATCTCGACAATTATGTGAGTCTGTGAGTCAAGTTGTTGTTGTTACTGTTGTTGTTAGCCTCGTGGGCAATATGCTGATTACCACATGTAAGTCGCTTTGGACAAAAGCGTCTGCTAAATCCATGAACATAAACATAAACTGAATGAAGGCTCAGATTAGAAGAAAAAAGAAGAAGAAACAATATTTTATATACGGTCTCACAAGGTAAAAATCACAAGGCGCTTACAGAGGCTAGGTTACCAGTATTGCATTACAATGCGTTGTTTATGTTTAACCCTAACCCCAGAATGCAAAACGGTGTGTGAAAGCCAAAGTTCACTAAACTTTGATAGCTTGTTAAACCCTTAGCAGCAATAAATTGAGGTTATGATTTTTGGTAAATCCTTATCAGTTACTGACATTGTGGAGAAATTCTTGTTCACTACAAAGTTGCTTAAGATTTCCTCATGTACAGCTGTTTTACAGTCAATCCACATAGTTTTAATCTGGATAAGATCAGGACTTTGACTTGTCTATTACAACACATTCATTCTATTTCAGCCTTTCTTTTGTGGGTGTGTTAATGTGCTTGTATATTAACAGTGAGTGTTTAGAGATGCTTGTGCTGATATGCGTTGGGCGGAGTTGCCTGCTCATCATTACCCTAGTAAGAATGGAACCATCTAGGGTGTATATGGGGAGTGTGAGTGGGTGTATGACGTATTCTTGTGTGTCTTTAGGTTAAATATGTTTGTGTGAGCATGAGGGTGGGAATGTATGAGTGTGTTTATGTGTGACTCTCTGTTAGGTAGAGTCTTCGAACTTCTCCCCTCTCAAATTCAATTCAATTCAAAGATACTTTACTAATCCCAGAGGGAAATTAAAGTTTCAGTACACACACAATTCAGAGATCAGACATACATGGGCAAAGACACATGACAAGAATTGGGGACTGTGGTCATTCGCGACTCCGAGTCGTGCTACCTTAATAGAGATCAGAGGGTTTATATGAGGATTGGTTCAGGTGGAGGGAAAAAAAAGGCACTTCAGAGTTAAGCCTGGTTTATGCTTCTCCGTCAGCTCCGCAAGGGACAGACACACACGGATTGACGGAAGCGTTTTGCTCTCATACTTCTTCGTCTCCTGGAGAGTGTTGCAAAGCAATTGCCCGACAGGACAACAGAGGGCGTAGCGCTGTTCTGTGGTATCTTGTCCAAGATAGTGTGTTTATATTGTGTTTTTTGTGTATATAAGAGACTTTTAACATGGACATATCTGTCTCTCATTCTCCCACCTCTTCATGCGCTCCCCACCTCTAAACCCACGCTTCCTGTCATTTCCGTCCACAAATAAAACGCTTGCTGCGCATCATTTCACTCCTCCAGTCATGGGAGAATGAAACGTTCATATTTTTAGTTTTTTCGCGAGGTATTCTTCCAAGCTTCTCCGTGTCTGCCGCTAGTTATCTTCGGCTCTCTTTGCAATGGTGGCGCTGTAAACAACAGCGGCGTCCTGACCAATCACAAGCTTGCATAATCTGTCTCGTTCAACGGATGTTTAAAAAAGTGGACTCGACTCCGTACTTACTTGCGTGCCTGCCGGAGCCCTACGCAAGGACGAATAATGGCGTTGCGTGTCTCCGCACTGACGCAGACGGAGAAGCATAAATCAGGCTTTACCCTCCACAGGGAGGGCAGCTTTTCTATGCAAAAAAACACCTCAGACAGATATGCAACAGACTTCAGACATTGCACATCATAAGTGTCCACTAGGTGGGGTGGTGGGTTTGGGACTCTCCACACGTCAGTTCCTGCAGCCACGATAAGCAGCGCACGTCACCTCAGTCTGGACAGGGGAAGGAGGTCATTGAGGTTTGGAGGGCACAGTGACTCCTGGAACGATTCGGCGGCCTTCAGTCCGCAGTCCCGCCCAGGCTGTGATAGGAGACAGAGTTGCCATAGCGACGGCAGCAGCATGCGTATGCAGCTATCATTGGTGTCACACTCACAAAAACACACACCAGAATGTCAATTTCTCAACAGGTTTATTTCTAGCATGCATGCATGGGTGAAGTCCAACATTTCAGGCTCTTGTTGTCTCAGTCTAAGCATCTCGTCATCCCGTTATAGAGACTCGCATCTCCCTCGGTATACGAAGATGCAGGAGTGCTGATTACTAATGCGCTCCAGCCGTGGCACAGTGCGCACCCACTGACACAGCCGCTCTCTTCTCCTCTGCAGATGTACTCTTTTTACACTTTTCTCCGTTCATCGGCCCCTCTGACAAACACCAACAGGTGTCAAGGACACAAGGACACAACAGCAGAATTCTCTGCCAGGAGCCGGAATCAATTCTACAACCTAGCGATTACTGGATAACCCGGTCTACCTCATGAGGTACTGTTGCCCTACGATGCCTTACATGATGCTAGGCTTGCTAATAAATAGCACTCCAGATTTCAAAGACTCATTCAGGAAGTGTCAATACACTCAGAAGATGCAGGTAGAAGACCCAAACTATGATCTTTTTACTAGCGTGATCAAATAATCAAGAATTTAATCAAAGGAACGAATTTTCAGACAAGTCTTTACTACAACCTTTTTTTAATCATAGAGGAATTCCCGAATAAAATGCATTTTAATAACGTGCCATGATATCACCGTGGAAACTCATTGTATCCCAATTTTTCTTGGTTTAACCCCTCATCTTATCTACAGAAGTAGGTTAGGCCTCCTTATCTTTGTACATTAACAATAGCACGTTACACCCTCGTGCTCTGATCGACAGTTATCTAGAAAATAAAGGTATAAATGATGAATGATCATCGGTCAGGCTTTTATGACGTAAAACTTAGCTGAAATTATTCTTCCCAGAAACATCCATTAAAGTCACTGAAGGGCAGGTTTTAACCCACGTCTCCTGTTACCTATAAAAGAGTCTCAGTTAGAGCAGCCAAACATCAGACCACCTGAGAAAAGGTAGCTGTCATAAGGACACAGGGGTTCCTGCAGCCAGAGATAACCTCAGACCAGAGTTTCATTTTAACAAGACGTGTTCTTTATGACAAACAACTTTTTTCTTTCTAGATTTTTCCGAGGAAAAGACTCAACCAGAACAACATGGCTCGACTGACGCTCCTGGCAGGTACATTGATGACAGTCCTTTAGCCTTAATGTTTAAAATGCAAAACACTTTGTGACGAAAGTAATAATTACATTGGTTTTCCAGGCTTGTCTCTTTTGTTGTGCCTTCAAATTGGTATGAGATATTCATTTTTGCATTTCAGACTTTTACACTTAATTTTGATATTTACTATAAGTAAAAATCTAAAAAATAATCCTGTCTTTCTCATTTTAAAGTTTCTTCCACCAAACTGGTCTGCTACTTTACCAACTGGTCCCAGTATAGACCAGGTTCTGGTAAATATCTCCCTGAAAATGTAGATCCCAACATCTGCACACACATGATCTATGCCTTCTCAAAGATTAGTACTTCAAATGAGCTGTCAATAGTTGAGTGGAACGATGAGGTTCTTTATCGCTCCTTCAACGGACTGAAGCACAGGTGAGTGGTCTCTGTCCGAGTTTTAGTGTTTGGAGGTCTTGTTACTGGTATTGTTTTATGCCAGCAACAAATATCCATTCATACAAGTATTGATCATAACTCATAAATTGTGCATCTCTATGACAGAAACCCCCAGCTGAAGACTCTGTTGAGTGTTGGTGGGTGGAACTTTGGAACAAAACAGTGAGTCCACAAACTACATTTTATTTCTCATCAAAATTATTATTTTTAGTAGTAATAGTAGTAGTAGTAGTAGCACTCGTAGTAGTAATCGTAGTAATAGTAGTGGTAGTAGTAGTAATAGTAGTAGTAGTTGTTGTAGTAGTCGTAGTAGTGGTAGTAGTAAAAGTAGTGGTAGTAGTAGTAATAGTAGTGGTTGTTGTAGAAGTAGTGATAGTAGTAGTAGTAGTAGTGGTAGAAGTAGTTGTAGTAGTAGTAATAATAGTAGTAGTAGTAATTATAGTAGTAGTAATAGTAGTAGCACTCGTAGTGGTAGTAATAGTAATAGTAATAGTAGTAGTAGTAGTAAAAGTAATAGTAGTAGTTGTAATAGTAGTATTATTAGTAGTAATATTAGTAGTAGTAGTAGTAATATAAATAATATTATTATTATTAGTAGTAGTAGTAGTAACAGTACTAGTAGTAGTAGTAATAGTAGTAGTGGTAGTAGTAATAATAATAGTAGTAGTAGTAGTAGTAGTAGTAGTAGTAGTAGTAGTAGTGTAGTAATAGTAGTAGTACTAATAGTAGTAGTAGTATTAGTAGTGATAGTTGTAATAGTAGCAGTAGTCATAGTAGTAGTAATAGTAGTAGTATTAGTAGTAGTAGTAGTAGGATTAGTAGTAGTAGTAGTATTAGGAGTATTAGTAGTAATAGTAGTAATAATAGTAGTGGTATTAATATTGTTATCAATATTATATCTGTGCCACTGATTTAATTTAATGCTTACAGGTTTACCCTCATGGTTTCATCACGTGCCACCCGCCAGGTCTTCATCCAGTCTTCCATCCGGTTCTTGAGGCAGCACGGCTTTGATGGGCTGGACCTAGACTGGGAGTACCCTGGAGCACGTGGAAGCCCAGCAGCGGACAAGATGAAGTACACATTGCTCTGCCAGGTCAGTTTAAAAACAACAGTAAAGTGTTTGTCCAGTGAAGCATTTCATAAAATACTTTTTTGTAGCACATGAATTGATTTGCGTGACTGAGTCTGTGTTTAAGCTCTACCTTTTCCTTTAGGTGGACTTGACTAAATAATAACCATCATTTGTTCTGTTTTCCCTTCAGGAATTATTCTCTGCGTTTGTGAAGGAGGCAGCTGAGACCAACAACACCCGCTTGCTGCTCACAGCTGCAGTGGCAGCCGGAGAGCGATTTATAGATGGTGGTTATGAGGTTGCTGAAATTTCCAAGTAAGATTGTGGGGAATAATCTTGTTGACCTCTTTATATCCTACATGGAAACACACAGTTAGAAGCATGCGTAGGGGTCTACCCTTTCGTATGAATGAAGGTTCTCTGCATACCTTCGTTTTACATGGATGAGGGATGATTTAAATGAGAAAGGCCCTGCACCTGTAAAGCACTTTTCTGAGTCAGGGCACGCTAAACGTATTTACACCTATCATTCACACACTGGTGGTGATGACCTACGTCACCCCGGGGCACACTGACAGAAGCAACAGAAGACAGCTTTATGAAACATACAGATGACAACTTCACTAGTGAGTTAGAGTAAATTAGTCGAGGGAACTTCCCTGTCTGTTAAAATACAGAAACAACTGAAAACTGCATTGACAAGATGCAATGTCTTCCAGGTATCTGGACTTTATAAGCGTCATGACCTATCGCTACCATGGATCCGAGGCTGGAATCATTGGCCACAACAGCCCTCTGTACACCAGTTCTGCTCTCGAAAGCCAATACGTCAACCACAACATTGTAAGTAAAATAAATCTCATCAACCTGGAAAGTAAAACAGATGAGTAACATACTTGTTTTTAACATGTAAACTCTGTGTGTTGCAGGACTTTTCCATGAAACATTGGACATCTCTTGGCGCTCCTGCTGAAAAGCTGCTGGTTGGTTTTCCCACATTTGGACGCACATTTCGCACAAGATCAGCAGATGCTGGAGTTGGATCCCCGAATGGCGGATTAGCCTCCATTGGGCCATACACCCGAGAACCTGGATCTTGGTCATACTATGAGGTCAGTTTACTGAAAGGTAGATTATCATGCCACCACAACAAAAGGTGTCTGTTACTAGGGAAACAGAGAAGAAAAGCATCAAACATAATGACTGAGTGTTTAAATTGAATCTGCCATTTTTAAATACAGATCTGCACTTTCCTTAATGGAGCAACAACTCATTGGATTGATGAACAAAAGGTTCCCTATGCAATCAAAGGCAACGAGTGGGTGGGCTTCGACAACATGCAGAGCTTTGAAATCAAGGTAAACCCTTTAAATCATCTTTAATATTTAAGGTTTTTGCAATGATGCAGTTACTCCACCTAACCCCCGGCTTTCCACAGGAGACGTCAGCAGCACGTTACTGCAGCAGCACGTCATAGCTGCTGATAGGAACCGCTGTGGTCAACAGAACCTTTTCCACCGGAGCCGTCAGCAGCGCGAGTCGGCCGCGTCTCAGGAGCAGCATGTCGCGGCCTTTACGCGCCGGTTCTATTTTCTACGTGCGACGCCTCTGAAACGGGTCAAGTTCGACATTTTTGGGGAAGGAAAGACAGGAAATCGAACGCAGAAATGGAGAGAAGCTCCCGAGATTTTCAGAATAAAGAACGTACAGCCTTCCGGTTGCTTTACTTTTAAAAACGGTTACTAAATGTGCGGCCCCGTGAGAAGTTATCACCTAGCTAGCGGTCTCCTTTGTTTTTCAGGTCCGTATTGGCGATTATAAAACGGACAGAACATAAAACACAAACATTTTCGAGCCATGTTGCAGTTTTCTCCTGCTTGTTGTTGTGTTTACTGACGAAGTCACTCGTGTGACTTCGTGCTCGGTCGGTGACAGCTGCTCCCCTGCTGCTTCGCGTGTTGGGGGAAGGGCCAAGCAGCAGCTTACGCGAGCAAGACGTGCTGCTGCAGTAACGTGCTGCTGACGGCTCCCGTGGAAACCCGGGGTTAGACCACTGCTCTGTCACGGCAGCGTCACAGTTTCTGTCGCAACTGTAGTGTCATCATTAGTCTGAACAGAAGATGGTGCTCTTGCTACAAGGTTCAAATAAAAAGATATATTTCACAAATGGACGTAGATGATCAGTTCATTTGTTTCTTTTCACAGATTGTCTTAACTTCTATAGCACAAACCTGAATGATCAGAAGCAAACATGTAAAATCATAACATGAAAAATGTCTATTTTCTATGATATTTTGTAGGCTCAGTATGTGAAAGACAACAGATTTGGAGGTGCATTCGTCTATTCTCTGGATATGGATGACTTTACTGGTGACTTCTGTCGTCAGGGAAAATACCCCCTTGTTAGTCATCTGCACTCTCTCCTTTATTCAGGTAAACAACATCATTGTTGTCATCTTCAGATCTAATATCTGGCCATATTCAAACAACTTCAATTGTTTTGATTGCATTCTTTAGAAGTTCTTCCACCCACCACAAGCCGCCCCAGTCTGGAGACTACAGCAACTCCTGTTTTTGGAAGAGGTTTCTGCTTTGGGAAGATTGATGGCAACTATGTAAACGTCAACAATCCAACCACCTTCTACCAGTGTGTCAGTGGAATTACATACATTCAAACGTGTCCAGCTAACCTTATTTACAATAAGAGGTGTGATTGTTGCGTCTACCATTAAATACATTGCTGTATTCATCAAACAGGAATGTTCTGTGTTGTTCAAACTGTGTCCTGTAGTAAAGGTGAGTAATCAAGGTTTGCAATGCCATAAGATTAATTGCCAAGAAGTATTGTTACAATAAATAAATAAATTGTTCGGGCACATGTTTCATGACTTTTTGTACCAAGTTTATTTGGTCACATGGATTTATATGAAGTTAATGAATTTTAATGACCTTCAATGCCTTCACATGGTACAAATGTGGTCAGCATGACAATGGTTTAGACCTATTCCAATATAAGCTCAGCATAAAAACAAGAAACTTTGAAATGGGCTTTATAGCCATGCTCACCTACTTGTATTCTTACCAATAGAGATAAAGATCTGATAGTCTTTAGGTGTAGGCTATGCAAAAGGCCCTTGAAACAATCCACCACATAACTGCAGGGTGTAAGATGCTGGAAAGGAAAGCTTACATGGAACACTGCGACCAAGTGGCTGGCATTGTGTACAGGAACATCTGTCCAGAGTATGGACTGGAAGCCCCAAGGTCAAAGTGGGTAACACCCCATAAGGTGGTTGAAAACGAGAGAGCCAAGATCTTGTGGGACTTCCAGATCCAGACTGACAAAACGCCGTCCGTCACTCGGCGTTTATCCCCGTAGCAAGTCGCGGTGTCACACACTGGAGCGGTTGACAACAATCACCGCCAACTGAACCGACTGTACTTTGTACCGGAAGGTCCAGCGGAATTTAGGACGCAGAATCACTGCGTCGGAGCGGTTTTGACAGCTTATCGGGACGCGCACCCGGGCCAAACCGAGGTTGCTAGTTAGCTCTCCGGCTAATGCTAGCTATTGTCTGGAGCTACCAGCACAAAAAAAATGCCCGATTAACCAAACGTCTTCAGCGACGAGGTAATTAGGGACTTTAGCGACTGCACTCTGGTGTGCAGATGCGGTCCGCGGTCTCTAACCACGGCTTACAGCTTACAATATTAGCGAGTTATGCTAACTATTATGCTAGCGCGGTTAGCGGAAAAGAAATAGGCGCTGATCAGTCGCCTCACGGAGCGGAATTAATTCCGACGAGGAGTAAAATCTCAGATTTTACTAAAAATGTCCACACAGTGTCACAAACACAGCTACAAACAATAAAACAGACAGTTTTCAACGTACCAAGACAGGAAAAATATACCTTCTCATGTAGGCCTCAAGATGGCCTGCTCGCTACGTCAGCTTTAAGGTGTTTTGATGAAACAGCGCCTCCTGTGGAGGGTGACAAATGTGCAACCCCCCTTCAAGATAAAAGCTGTCTCCATGCTGAATGAGGAAAAGATCGCTTTTTCCTTTTTCCTCTGAACTCACACTGAACAAAAATCCCAAAAATGTCTCAAAATCGGCACAAAGTGTAATAAACTGCGCAGATATCAGGCTAAGCTCGCCATAATGTAGTGATTTGAAGTTGTATATTTATACACTGTAATTAGATAATTTAATTATCTGATTTTGTATATTTATACAATCAGTAATCAATCAGAAGTGGTTGTTTTTATCATCAGGGAGTTTACTTAAACACTCTGTATTGACTGAGAGACAAGAAAAGAGAGAGAGTTGGGATCATTTAAGATTCTTTAATTTCTATAATTATAAATTCTTACACTCTACCAGGACTATCTCAATGATGAATGCATATGGATTTAGATGTTTCGTGTGTGTGTGTGTGTGTGTGTGTGTGTGTGTGTTTTGTTCAGAATCTCTAGGCTGACGTAGCGAGTCTGGTTTGTTATGACTAGGCTACCATGAGGCTTCAGAAGCTGATGACATGAGCCGCCATGTTGTGCCGTACCTTAGATGGAGTCTCCCGTGTAGATCAGGAATTGCCAGGTTCCAAGACCTCGGTTGTACTGGAGCTGGTGAAACAGCGGTCACAGCACACAACGCCCGTCTGAGGATAACTCCGTTAGTGGTTGGCAGGCGTCAGTAAGTTCACTCTTATTTTGAAAGAACGTTGTCTCGTTGGTACAAACGACGGAAATCTCCAGCTTGACAGATCTCAGCTTAAAACAGGAAATACAGATGGCCAGCCTGTATTCCTCTTTGCGGTGATGGGTTGAGAGCTGGTTGAAAACAATGTTGAGAGTATGATGTAACTCCTTGGAGCTCGGATCGAGCAGAGCTGATGTCAACGTGGAACTTAACGTGGAACTGACTTAAAATGGCGTTGCCTTCTTTTTATATCTCCCAGTTGTTTGAGAATCTTAGTAAACCGGATTGGACTACTTTCATAAACAAACCAGATTCTGCCCTACCACAGACGAAAGTTCTGATTGGTTGAAAACAATGTGTCATGCGTTTCCATGGTAATGCATATCAGTGTGTCTGGTGCAGCCCTGTTTATTCATTTAAACACATAACTCATGACATCTTTATTTCACAGATCATTCACCTGATTATTAATGATCAACAAATGCTTTGATTAGCTTATCACAAATAAAGTACTTTGATTAGTCAATGAAAAGCGTTCTTCTTCTGTTCTTCTGTCTCGTCTCCTGGAATGTAAACATACTGAACCAAGCGTCCGACCTTGGCGATGGTACTGTGTGAAGGGGCAGCTGTTATAGGCAGACCATTATAAACTTCATAACGCTACACATTTATAGTTTCAATAAGTGACCTTTTCCTGTGATGTATTCACAATTAGCTATTTCACAATCATCTGATGAGGGATATGTGCAGTGCAGATGGTTAGCTTCCTGATTATACTAGAGCTTATCTGCTGTCCACTTTAATCCAGGCAACAGCTTTAGAATGCAGGTGCACAGTAATGGGCTGCAGTAAATAGTGTGATTAGCATCATAAAACCTGTTCATAAACACAACAGTATAATGTGTGTGTAATGGGGTTGTGGTGGCCTGCAGGGATGGACAGCAGACACAAATGAAGAAATTAAAAAGGTTGTTTTTGCATCGAACAAACCCTAAAAGGTTTTTAAACATCATGAATGCAAAGATTTAATCCTTACAAGGATCCTCAGACTCTTTTATCAGCCACACAAGCTCTGTCTTCACACCAGGGCCTTGGCAAGAGATGCTGGATCGCTCTGGTAGCTCCTCTTAAAATCAGTGATTGTCTAAAATATGAGAGAACGTTTTCCAAACCCTCAGCAGCTAGTAGTTTAGGATAATCATCACCTCTTGACCCAACTTAGAACAAGAAGTTTAGAAGACGAATGAAAGACATCTCCATAATTAGCAAAGAAGTGACGCTCAGCAATGAATTGCGTCCTTCCAGTGTTATGGCCCTCGCCTCTGGAAAGAGCTACCAGAGGACCTCAGGGCCGCAGAGAATGTTCATGTTTTTAAGTCCAGGCTCAAGACCCATCTTTTTAGGTTAGCTTTTATCTAAATATCTTTGCATGTTTTATGATTTTATTTATTACTTATTTTCTAACTTTTGTCCCTTATATTAGCTCTTTTATTATATTTTTACTCATTTTAATCCAGTGTTTTCTCTGTAGGGGCCCTCTGCCCCGGGAGCGGTGGTCGACTGTAGCTTCCTGGGCGCTCTATGGGTAGTGTTTAAGTGGAGGTGGGGGTCTATGCTCCCCCTCCACTGAGCGCCCTGACTTAGTGTGGAAGACCTGATGCTGCCGGGACAGACGGCTCCTCTGATGGCGTTTCCTTACCTTACCTTAATTGGCTCATTTGGACTCAGCCAAATATAATTTTTACGTGTGTGTGTGTGTGTGTGTGTGTGTGTGTGTGTGTGTGTGTGTGTGTGTGTGTGTGTGTGTGTGTGTGTGTGTGTGTGTGCTTGCATATGTCTGTTAATGTTTTTAACCTGTTATGGGCATCTGGGGTCATTTTGTAAAGCACTTTGTTTGAAAAGCACTTTATAAATAAATCTGATTGATTGATTGATTGATTGATTTCTGTAACAAAGAATTTACCCTTTTCTGGTTGAGAGACAGACTCGGAGGAGGAGATCTAAAGACCTTCAAACACTTGGCTGGATCATGAGCCGAACTGTTAACAAAGACAACCTCAGCACGGTCCGGCACTTACCGTAACCAAGTCTGACCTATTACCAGTTATGGGTGAGATGAAGAGCACATCGCTGCTCCTGAGCATCAGTCAGACGCTCCTGTCCAGCTCCAAGGTGTTGACCTTACCAGGATGGCTGACGAATGGGATTCCTCTGTTTCTGAAACAGAGACAACAATCTAATGTAGAGAATTTTCAAATACATTCTCCTCTGGTGAATGTACACTTGCACTTTCCATCATGGAGCAGCAACGTTCTGCTGGACTAATGAAGTAAAATGAAAGGCCAGAGGTGCTGAAACACAAACCCTGACCTCTAAAAAGTCTCAAATGATTATGACACTAACTCCTTTTTCTTTACATTTTCAGATTGAGTCATAAATACTTTAAAAGGGGATGTCATCATTTTCACGGTTATCTCACATTAGTAAAGCCTTCAGTACGAATATCAGCTGTGGGCCTTTCTGATTGGATTTTAAATGTTTACACTCGACCTGCAGGTGTTTGGCTGATCTCACCAATCAGACGCATGCATCTTTGGTTTATTGGTGATTTTACATTGACTTTAGGAGAGTGTGAGTGTGTCTGCGTTTGAACTGTGTAAGACTGTCCAGGATGTAAGTGCTGATAATAAACGGATAACAGCTGGGATATGTTTCAGGCGCTGTATGTGCATTAAATAAACAGAAGACACAAATAAGGCTTTAGAATGATAAAACGAAGCTGCAATGAGCTCAGAGCATCACAGAGCCACGCAAGCGACATTAGATGAAAGAGAAACATGCATTTCTGCAACAAGTTTTGCAGGATCCTGCAAAATGCTTTGTCAGTTTTGATTTTTGATACACACACACACACATGCACACGTGCACACACACACACACACACACACACACACACACACACATGAAGAGAGTTATCAGAAGTGTTCTGACTATCTCTGTTTATTATTCAAAGCAAAGTAAATTTGGTTTGTATTCAGGACAATTTAATAGAGATTATTTACTGTAAACACAAACATGTAAAAACCTTTCAACAGGTGTGTAAGGCATTAGAAAGTTATTTTATATTAGTCAGTGAATGTCATTAGTATCAGAAAAGAAGAAGTAAAGGTCGTTCAGGCTTTTTTGTGTAGAAACAAGATTTAAAGAGCAAGTCACCCCCTACCAGAGTATTACTCCGCTCCCACTTCCTGTTTGTAAAATGCAACAATTGCTGTTGCCTAGCAGAGCCGCTAACAAATACACACACACACAGACTCACAATGACATTGTGACATCATAATGTACCAGCTAACATTCTAGGGTACCTCTTAGCCAATAGCGATGGCAGATTTAAATTCAAATGCAGTGCAGAGCTTTTACCTGACAACGGCACGACACTGACAGTTTTAGGCAGAAAATTTTAATTTTAACCAAAATGCACTGAAGTACAAAACTATTGACTACACGTGTCTGCAGCACGATTAGACACGCATTTATAGTTTATCAGGGAAAAAAAGTTAATTTGGGGGTGACTTGCTCTTTAATAGAACATTTGTTTGTTTCTGCATTTGATTTGTTTCCCTAATTTCCAAACGTTGGACTTTATTGAGCACATTTATCACACATTTATCAGTATTATACTTCGCCCTGAATGAGACAGAGAAAAATAAAACAGAACAGGGATATACTTTAATGAGATTCTGCTTATTCGTCAGGATGTTGCAAACATTTTGCAGGATCTCAAAAAAGATGCTTTGGAGCCAGGAAAGAAAAATGTTCAATGTTACCAATTTAAGAAAATAAATATAATTTCTTTCAAATAATGTCATGAATCACGTCAAAACAGTGATTTTGATCTGATCCTCCTCATTTTAACTGTATGTTTAAAAATAGGAGTTTCTAATAAAGACCTGAGTAAGTGTTTGCACCATTCTCTTTGTGATCATCTCTTTGTGTCAGTCATCACTGCGTCGCCTACAGGTTGTGCAGAACAGCGCAGCCAGGTTCCTGTCTGGGACCAGGAAACGGGACCACATCAGTCCGGTTCTGGCCTCCCTGCACTGGCTTCCGGTTTGCTATCGTTCACACTTCAGACTCCTCGTCTTTGTTTTTAATTTCTTCCAGGGTGGTGCTCCCCCCTATCTAGCCACGCTCCTGAACAGACACTCCCCATCACGCGCTCTGCGCTCCTCTGACCAAGGCCTGCTCGCTGTCCCTCGTTCTAGGTGTCGTACTCGCGGGGACCGGGCTTTCTCAGTCCTAGCACCGTCACTCTGGAACCAGTTGCCACCCTCAGTTAGGCTGTCCCCATCTCTGCCAGTCTTTAAGAGTCGCCTAAAAACACACCTCCTCCGCTTGGCGTTTCCAGAACATGTTTGAATTTGTCCCTCTTTTATGTTGATTTTATCTCAGTTTTCATTGGTTCACTTTTCCCTTCTTTTACACATTTGCCTTCTACTAGAATGTTTCACCTTTTTTTGTAATTTGTAATCTGTAATTTGAATTCCTTTTATTTTCTGATTTATTCACTTTCTTTAACTTTGTACTGTACCATGTTCAGCGCCTTGGGCTTCCTGACAGGGTTGCGGAAGGCGCTTTATAAATAAAGCTTTGATTTGATTTGATTTGATCTCTGCTTTAGTAAAGTCTTGCAGCATTAGTTTCTGGTTACTATAGTTTCTAGATTCTGCTCTGTTGTAACAACTAGCCACTCAGGCCAAAGCAACCATAATCTCACCTCTCTATACATCAGCAGCTGCATTATGCCTCAATTCTCTAATCCGTGCACCGCAGGTCAATAAAAACATAAACGACAGACACAAATCAGCTCATCACACCGTAATGTGATAATAAGACACAGCAAAAATGATTCATCCCGGAAGCATCCAATAAAGTCCCTGCAGAGCAGGCTTTGCACCTGTTTTCTGTTACCTATAAAAGAGCCTCAGCTGGAGCAGCCAGACATCAGAGCGCCTGAGAAAAGCTACCAAAGACATCCGAATACAGAGGTGACTGCAGCCTTCGGTACCTGCTGCTTTAGTTTATTTCACCACAACTTGTAATGATTCAGGACTCAAACTTTTAATCTCTTTCAGACTCTACTGAGGAAAACCGGAACAGCATGTCTCGACTGATGATCCTAGCAGGCATGTTTATTCTCTTAGATGTTTATTTTTCTTGGTAAAAACAGACGATAATCTGCTTGTTTTTCCAGGGTTGTCTCTGCTGGTGTGCCTCCAGTTTGGTAGGAGAGCATATTTTTTATGTCATGACTGAATCTCAATCATTTATAGCAGAGCTTGAATCTAATCATTTCTTCCTTTCTGAAAGGTTCTTCCACCAAACTGGCATGCTACTTTACCAACTGGTCCCAGTATAGACCAGGTCTTGGTAAATACATCCCTGAAGACATTGATCCCAACCTCTGCACACACCTGATCTATGCCTTCTCAAAGATCAGCCCCTTCAATGAGCTGACAACAGTCGAGTGGAACGACGACGTTCTTTATCGCTCCTTCAACGGACTGAAGCACAGGTGAGCGGTTTCTGTCTGAACATCAGAGCTTATATCGTGTCCATAAATCTCACACGCATGAAATAATATACAACATTGTAGCATAGAGCCAAAGTGGGAGCCGGTAGATTTGTTTTACATCAGATGGTGTTACAAATGAAAGGTCCCGTAGCATGCTGCTGTAAACCGCTGAGAAGAAAACAAAGGTAGGCACATATAGGATGAAATATTGCCGTTGGCACTATTGAATACGAGTTATTTTCATCAGCCAAAATGTTTACCCGAAAATTAAACGGTTAGTTTCAGGGAAGCTCTGTCCACGCCCACTCAGACCAAATGCACCTTCAACAGCGTCTCAGGCAAGCTGGTTACCGTTGGCTGTGGTAGATGAATGTGTCTGCTTGCTGTTTCAGTTCTGCCTTGTGCTGACATGGGTTCAGATCCCGGCGGTGTCGGCAGGCATTTCTTCATCCAGCTGAAGCAGATTTCATGTTTTGATATTTTACTTTTATTGATTATTTTGTGTCTTTAAAGATCTTTGGGTAGTGACCAAAAGAACGAGATCGCGGATATGAGCGGCTGAAATGAGTTTTCTCTGAAGAGTGGCTGGGCTCTCCCTTAGTAATTGGGTGAGAAGCTTGATCATTTGGGAGGGGCTCAGAGTAGATTCGCTGCTCCTCCACATTGCGAGGAGCCAGTTGAGGTGGCTCGGGCATCTGATTAGGGTGCCCTTTGATGCCTCCCTGGTGAGGTTTTCTGGGCACGTCCAACCGGGAGGAGACCTAAAAGTAGACCCAGGACATGTTGGAGGGACTATGTCTCTCACCTGGCCAGGGAACGTCTTGGGATTCCCCCGGAGGAGCTGGCCCAAGTGGCTGGGGAGAGGGAAGTCTGGGCCTCTCGACTTAGGCAACTGCCCCCGTGACCTGACTCCAGATAAGCAGCGGCCAGCCAGCCAGCCAGCTGGCCACATGTCCTTAGCTGGCCAGGGGTGGCAGGATTTTAAACCAGAAGCTAGCTTCTTCAGGCCTGATGTTGGGAGCAGGAAGATGGAGTGACATACAACTTTTACGTTAGGCTGTTTCAGGAACTTCAAACTAAAATTCAAGCTATGCAGCTGAAACAGGAAAGTGCGTGAACGCAGCCCAAAAACAAGTTTGGAGGTATTTTTCATGAGGAAACAACAATATTACATGCTCCAGAAAGTGGATTTCCCACAGTATGGCCCCTTTAACATTGATGTTTGTGCTGAGGCTGAAATCTAAATTTAGAACTTAGTTTTTCTCCATCCTGGTGAAAAGACGAAAGAACTAAACGGGTCTCTGTTCTAACGCCGCCTCTGTGTCCATCACAGAAACCCCCAGCTGAAGACGCTGCTGGCTGTTGGAGGGTGGAACTTTGGAACAACTCAGTGAGTCCACCTTGTGGAAACGAGTTTGATTGGTCAAGTAATTTCACTTCACGCACGTTTTTACATGAATGTCTACAGGTTCACCCTCATGGCTTCCTCAAGTGCCACCCGTCAGGTCTTCATCCAGTCTTCCATCAGGTTCTTGAGACAACATGGCTTTGATGGGCTGGACCTGGACTGGGAATACCCTGGAGCACGAGGAAGCCCACCAGAGGACAAAAGGAGGTTTACCTTGCTCTGCCAGGTCAGTTTAACCCTTTAAGGGCCAATAAATAAAGTACTTATCAGAAATGTGTCACTTTTGATAAATTATTAGCTGATGTTAATGTATTTGTAATATGTAATTATATAGCAGTAGACAAATGGATTAAACAACACTAAAGTGAAACTAAATAAAGTTGGAACACCTGCAGTATTTTCAAAAAGCTTTGATTTGACACAGGAAAGTACTAATCCTATTAAAGAGAGTCTAGAAATGTGGCATCTGGTACAAATTATGAACTTCAAAAATGTTTTTTCCACATTCAGCGTAACTGAAATAGTCAGCTTTTTCTTTTCAAATTACATGAAATAAGTGTTACAAGACATACCAACACTCATCAAGGAGATCGTAGAAAGCCCAACTGGTGCAGAACAAAGTGGAGTGTTAACAACAATATAGCACATTAAAAAAGGGTCCCTTTATTAATGTCACCTGGTGAATTATTAAGCATTAATAAATTAATAAATAAAGTATTAACAACTGCGTAGTATTAATGTTTATATAAAGTAATGCATTACTCAGCAGACACTCCCCTTGGCGCTTTGTCCTAACCTTAAGGACATTTATTAGCTAACGATATCAGGAACTTTAATAACAGAATCCTACGTTTATTAATGCTTATTAATGCAATAAGTAATGCTAATAAAGGGACCCTGGTTGTTCAGGGTTAATTTCTTGTAGCAGAAAAATACAGCAGTGGAGCTGCTAAAGCTAAAAGAACAAGGGCTCATGGACGATTATAGCAAGAAAACAAGAACAAACAATTAGCTAAATACATGCATAGCAAATGACACAAGAGATGTTAGACAAAGGAACACGACTCAAAACTACAAAACAAAACACAAAACCCCTCAACAACATAACAAGGTCCATCACGAAGCACCTGGAGCAAAGAAGTCTAAAGACTGAGTGGATTTCTGCTTGACTTTTAGGAATTACTCTCTGCTTTTGAGAGGGAGGCAGCAGAGACCAGCAAGCCACGCTTGCTGCTTGCAGCTGCAGTGGCTGCTGGGAAGGGAATCATTGACCATGCTTATGAGGTCGCTGAAATTTCCAAGTAAGTCAAAGGAATTTAAGGTGGTTGAATTCTTTAAATCTTCTGTCTTCTCACATGGAAACGTGATTTTACACACACTGTAAAAGCAGAAGAGCAAACAGAGCACAACCTGCAGACATGTCTTTATTTAAACGGTACTATCTCTTACAGGAGTCTCGACTTTCTCAACGTCATGACCTATGGCTTCCATGGATCCTGGGATGGAATCATTGGCCACAACAGCCCTCTGTTCACCAGCTCTTCCCTTCAGGGCCCATTTGTCCAGTACAACATCGTAGGAGAACTGCGGAAACGTGTTCTAGATGCAATGTGAGTCACATCCTAGTTTTAACATGTAATCTTTGTGTGTTGCAGGACTTTTCCCTGAAATACTGGACATCTCTTGGAGCTCCTGCTGAAAAGCTGCTGGTTGGTTTTGCCACTTATGGACGAACATTTCGCCCGAGTACAGCGGCTACTGGTGTTGGAGCACCAGCCAGTGGACCCGCCAATGCCGGGCCTTACACCCAAGAGTCTGGATCATGGTCCTACTATGAGGTCAGAAGAGCACTAGTGTAGTTTTTCAGCATAGGTAGACAAAAAGATGAGTGTTTAAACCTGCCTTCCTTATACAGATTTGTGCTTTCCTCCCTGGAGCCACGACTCACTGGATTGATGAGCAAAAGGTTCCCTATGCAGTCAAAGGCCACGAGTGGGTGGGCTTCGACAACAAGCGGAGCTTTGAGATCAAGGTAAACTGTTTAAGTCATCTTTCATATTTAAGGTTTTGCAGCAGTAGTAACCTGTTACACACTACCATCCTTTCACATGACTTCCTCCAGCAGAAGAGCAGGCCGAGTGAAGCTGATGATGTATCTGCACAGTTTTAATAATGGAGTCAGAACAGATGATGCGCCAGTAACAAAGCACAAATATGGCCTTAAACTTACAATCTTGTGTCTTTATTAATAAAACTTGGTTTCATGTTATTTGCATATTGATTTCTACTTTGACATAAAAAGTTTTATATATATATATATATATATATATATATATATATATATATATATATATATATATATATATATATATATATATATATATATATATGTGTGTGTAATTTTTTTCCACAATAATTTTAGAAAGTTTAAAAAGGCACAACACTGTTTGATCTTAAAACAGGAAAAGCAGATTTAAAGAGTAACGCTGATATTTTGTAGGCTCAGTATGTGAAAGACAACCGACTTGGAGGAGCATTCATATATTCTCTGGATATGGATGACTTTTCTGGGCACTTCTGTGGTCAGGGAAAGTACCCACTTGTTAGTCACCTGCGCTCTCTCCTGGACTCAGGTACCATCCTTCCCACCTTCCCCACCCAGTGGAAACGTTGCCAAACTGTTTTATTTAATTGCTCTGATTCTGTTTGTTAGATTTTCCTCCACCTCTTCCTGTTACCACCAGCCGTCCTCGGCCACCTAACAAAACAACAGCTGCTCGTCCAACCCCAGCCCAAAAAACGACTCCTGCATCTGGAAGTGGTTTCTGTGCTGGAAAGGCTAATGGCACCTACAAGAACAACGATGACAGGACCACGTTCTATCAGTGCGTGGGTGGGATCACATACTTGCAGCATTGTCCCGGAGGTCTGGTTTTTGATGAGAGATGCACCTGTTGTGTCTTTGCATAAATAAAAACCCTATTCATCTAACAGGGCTGTGTTGTGCAGTTATTTCATCCATGGGTGCAGCACTGGCAGGGTAAAGGCCATCATTAACCAGGTTTTTTACAAACATCCAAACCCAAAAGGTTACACCCTCTACTGATTTCTTTGTTACTGGAACCTGGTAGTGCATGAATCTAATCTAATCGAAACAAATTAATCTAATCTAATCTAATCTAATCTAATGAAGGCAACTGGACTCGTTTGGTTTCTTGAAGACGTTTCACTTCTCATCCAAGGAGTTTTGACTGTTCTGACTGGAGTATGGGGGAGTCAAGCTTACTAACTGTAGCTGTCTGTTGTTGCTTAACGAGCTTGAACCGTCGCCTTATCGTGGTGGAGGAGTTTGAGTGCCCTAATGATCCTAGGAGCAATGTTGTCTGGGGGCACTTTGTGCCCCTGGTAGGGTCTCCCATGACAAATTGGTCTTAGGTGAAGGGTGAGACAAAGAACGGTTCAGAGGATCTTTCATGGATGTAAATTAAAAGAGTCGGAGTACCCGGCCCGGAGGGTTACCGGGGTCCCACCCTGGAGCCAGGCCTGGGGTTGGGGCCTGTGAGTGAGCGCCTGGTGGCCGGGCTTTCGCCCATGGGGCCTGGCCGGGCCCAGCCCGAACCGGATACATGGGCTCATCCAACTGTGGACCCACCACCCGCAGGAGGAACATGAAGGGTCCGGTGCAGTGTGGATCGGGTGGCAGACCGAGGCGGGAGCCTTGGCGGTCCGATTCCCGGACAAGGAAATTGGTTTTTGGGACATGGAATGTCACCTCGCTGGCGGGGAAGGAGCAGGAAGTTGTGGCAGAGGTTGAGTGGTACCGACTAGATATAGCCGGACTCACCTCAACACTTAGCATTGGCCCTGGAACCCATGTCCTTGAGAGGGGGTGGACACTCTCCTTTGCTGGAGTTGCTCCGGGTGAGAGGCCTTGTTCCACTCTGCGATTGTTGAGGCGTCTGTTGCTAGCTGTGGTCGCAAGGTGGCCGGTGCCAGTCGTGGTGGCAACCCCAATACCCGCTGGTGGACACCAGACGTTCGGGTAGCCATCAGGCTGAAGAAGGAGGCCTACAGGGCGTGTCTGGTCTGTGGGTCTCCGGAGGCAGCAGACAAGTACCGGATAGCCAAGCGGGGTGCAGCAGTGGCAGTTGCCAAGGCAAAATTGCGGGCGTGGGAGGAGTTTGGTGAGGCCATGGAGAAAGACTATCGATCGGCTCCAAAGAGGTTCTGGCAAACTGTCTGGCACCTCAGGAGAGGAAGGCAGCAACTCGCTCACACTGTTTACAGTGTGGATGGGAAGCTGCTGAAGTCCACTGGGGCCATAGTCAAACGGTGGAAGGAATACTTTGAGGAGCTCCTCAATCCCACCTACACACATTACGAGGAGGAACCAGAGCCGGGAGACCTGGGTATGGAGTGTCCAATCTCTGGGTTAGAAGTTGCTGAGGTAGTCAAACAACTACACAGCGGCGGAGCCCTGGGGGCGGATGAAATTCGTCCTGGGTATCTAAAGGTTATGGATGTTGTAGGGCTGTCATGGTTGACACGTCTTTGCAACATTGCGTGGTCATCGTGGGCAGTTCCTGTGGAGTGGCAGACCGGGGTAGTGGTCCCATCTTTAAGAAGGGTGACCTGAGGGTGTGTTCCAACTATAGGGGGATCACACTCCTCAGCCTCCCTGGAAAGGTCTACTCCAAGGTACTGGAGAGGAGGGTCCGATCAATAGTTGAATCTAAGATTGAGGAGGGGCAATGTGGTTTTCGTCCTGGCCGTGGAACTGTGGACCAGCTCTATACCCTTGCAAGGGTGATGGGGGGGGGGCATGGGAGTTTGCCCAACCAATCCACATGGGTTTTGTTGATTTGGAGAAGGCTTATGACTGTGTCCCCAGGGGCACCCTGTGGGGGACGCTCCAGGAGTATGGGGTGGGTGGATTTCTGTTATGGGCCACTCAGTCCCTTTACCACAGGAGCGTGAGTTTGGTCCGCATAGCCGGTAGTAAGTCGGACCTGTTCCCGGTGAGGGTTGGACTCCGCCAGGGCTGCCCTTTGTCACCGGTTCTGTTCATCACTTTTATGGACAGAATTTCTAGGTGCAGCCGTGGTGTGGAGTGTGTCGAGTTTGGTGGCAGGAGAATCTCGTCTCTGCTTTTTGCGGATGATGTGGTCCTCCTAGCTTCATCCAGCTCTGACCTTCAGCTCTTGCTAGATAGGTTTGCAGCCAAGTGTGAAGCGGCTGGGATGAGGATCAGCACCTCCAAATCTGAGACCATGGTTCTCGACCGGAAAAGGGTGGCTTGCCAATTCCAGTTCGGGAGGGAGGTCCTACCTCAAGTGGAGGAGTTTAAGTATCTCGGGGTCTTGTTCACAAGTGAGGGTAAGAGGGATTGGGAGATCGACAGGCGGATTGGTTCAGCATCTGCAGTGATGCGGACGCTGAACTGATCTGTCGTGGTGAAGAGGGAGCTGAGCCAGAAAGCCAGGCTCTCGATTTACCGTTCGATCTACGTCTCAGTCCTCAACTATGGTCATGAGCTTTGGGTAATGACGGAAAGAACGAGATCGCGGATACAAGCGGCCGAAATGAGTTTCCTCCGTAGGGTGGCCGGGCTCAGCCTTAGAGAACGGGTGAGGAGCTCGGACATTCGGGAGGGACTCGGAGTAGAACCGCTGCTCCTCCGGATCGAAAGGAGTCAGTTAAGGTGGTTTGGGCATCTGGTCAGGATGCCTCCTTGACGCCTCCCCGGGGAGGTGTTTCGGGCATGTCCTGCCGGCAGGAGTCCCCCGGGTCGACCCAGGACACGTTGGAGAGGTTACATCTCCAATCTGGTCCGGGAACGCCTTGGGGTCCTGCCGGAGGAGCTGATGGAGGTGGCCGGGGAGAGGACGATCTGGAGCTCCCTAGTTGGGATGCTGCCCCTGCGACCCGGACCCGGATAAGCGGAGGAAGACGACGACGACGAATACACCTTCTCCCTACCCCCGAGGAGTCACTTATGTCATTAGGTCCTTTTGTATTGGAATGGTTGTTTTGATTACCATAATGAATAAGACAGAACAATAAAACTGATAATCAAATACAGATGGAGACTATCACAAATTGAAAAAATACACATTTTCATGTATGGTTGACAGCATTTGTTCAAATGTGGGGAAAGTATTTCCGCATAATACTTAAAAACTCTTCATACCTGTAATCACCACCTTATTGCTGTGGAAAGGTGTAAGTAATCCATAATCTCCAAAGGCAAACTCACCCTAAGAGAGGGGCCAGTATGAAAAAGTGTGTGTGTGTGTGTGTGTGTGTGTGTGTGTGTGTGTGTGTGTGTGTGTGTGTGTGTGTGTGTGTGTGTGTGTGTGTGTGTGTGTGTGTGTGTGTGTGTGTGTGTAAGCACCTCTTTGAATAGATCCATTCTGGATCCAGCTGATTTAGGATCCCAGGAGGTGAAGATATTTGAAGTAAATTTTTTTGTGTTTGCTGTGCAAAAATCCACTTCAATACGCACATTAAAAAGGCCGAGATGTCCCTTTGAGTGGCATATTTGCTGAATTAAGCTGAAATTTGCTGTTTGCTTACCTAGTTATGATTTGGTTACAAAGCAGGCTAGAGGTACCTTCATTTCAGAGTCACTCTACTGCGTTTTTCTAGCTAAAAATGCCCAGAAAAACTCGTTATCTTCGGGTTAGCATGTAGATAATGTCCCGCTAATCTCCAACCGTGGAGCGAGAGCTGATGTTCTGAGGCTCTGCTTGTAATTTAACAGTCCAACCAGTCCAGGAGCAATATTGTTCACGTGATCATGTTATACTCACTTTCCTGTCAAAGGTCTTGTATCTTTGCTATTAGCCCTGAATGATGCAACAGCAGCATTTCCTAAACTTTTGGACCAATTGTTTGTTCAGGGTTAATGATTGTCATCCTTTTTTTTACCAAATCAAAACTCAGTTTACATGTTTTTGGCTGAGAGAAAGGCTGATCAACTAAACCGCCATGAGCAAACTCATTCTTATAGCAGGTGAGGCAACTTTTCAACATTATTTATAAACCCTGAGAGTTGTTCACTGACACAATGACCAATGTTACAGCTCTCTGTCTGTTCCCAAGCAGCTGGGGTAAGTACTTACATCTTTGCAAAATAACACTTTTTAGACCCAACCTGAGTTTTATTTGGTGTTTAGTGTCATCCTATAGACTGGCATGCTACTTCACTAACTGGTCCCAGTATAGGCCAGGAAATGGGAAGTTTATACCTTTGAATATTGATCCAAACCTCTGTACTCACCTGATCTTTGCGTTTTCTGGTATTAATGAGGCCATTGAGTTAGCCCCTATAGAGTGGAATGATGATGAACTTTATAAAGCCTTCAACGGACTCAAAGTCAGGTTAGTCCAGTCCTTTTGACATTAAAGAAAGAAAAATTTCCTCTCTATTTTAATAATTTTTCCTAAAAGCGGAACATTTATATATTCCTACAGAAATCCAAATCTTAAAACACTGTTGGCCGTTGGAGGCTGGAACTTTGGATCAGAAAAGTGCGACTTAATCATCACAGCCAGTTACACCAGTCAAATGGTATTTCTTACTAACAGCAGCTTTCTTTTCCCAAACTGCTGCCCAGATTTACTACAATGGTCTCAACACAAGTAAATAGAGGTACGTTTATCCAGTCTTCCATTACTCTACTGAGAAAATACGGTTTCGATGGACTAGACTTGGATTGGGAATACCCCGCAGCAAGAGGAAGCCCTCAGGGGGACAAGCAGAAATTCACAGCATTGTGCAAGGTCACTTCCGTAAATGCGGATGATCACCTGATTTATCAATACTGTCACGTGACTTTGATTATGTGCTTTTACAGGAGCTCTTTGAGGCCTACGAGGCTGAGGAAAGACCACCAGAACAGCCCAGGCTGATGATCTCTGCTGCAGTACCTGCTGGGAAAAAAACCATTGATGATGGCTTTGAAATTGCAGAGATCTCAAAGTAGGCTGATAATTTCTTTATTATTTCCATTAGAAACCCATAAATGATGCGATTTTTTGGGGTGGGTGGGATGCTAAAATGTATCACCCATTCATTGTTAGGTATCTGGATTTCATTAATGTGATGACGTATGACTTCCACGGCTCATGGGAGAATGTCACAGGACACCACAGCCCTTTGTATAAACAGCTCAGTGAGACCGGGGCCCAGGCTGACCTAAATACTGTGAGTACCCAGTGCAGACACCATCAGGTTATTTTGTTTCCACTGTAACTGTAACTAAGATCATCAAACTTACTTCATGCTCACTTTTAAACCATGCATTTAAAATGGAAAAAATGGAACGGAGAATCTGTTCAGTTGTGGTTGAAGAGGAAAACGTGTAATCTGAGAGCCTAATAGTCCTCAGCAGCATTTAAGCTTTACATCCCAACATGTCTTTGGAACGCTAAGCTGAAGGACTTCTCTTCTCCTAAAACCCTCTTTAGAGGATCGTCTTTAGATACAAAAGCACGGTGAGTATTGTGAACTAGAGCCCTGCACGGGCCTAAAATCTGAGCCCGTGTCCGGCCCGGCCCGAGGGGGTGGAGCCCCAGCCCGACCCGGCCCGAAAAGGTTTTCAGGATTCTCTGGCCCGGCCCGAGCCCAAGCCCGACTTTTTTTTAACCAACTAAATGAAAACAAAGTGCCTCAATCCTGACCAATGTGTTAAAAGACGTGCAGGATCCGAGCGCCGCAGAAGCGCATGCGGGAAGCTTCTTGTTTGGTATTTTTTCACATCCTGCTCCAGTGTGTTGATTCTGCATGTCTTGGGTTAAATCATTACCTCAGAACATGACACTTCTTCCCACTGAAGCGAGTGTTTTCCAAACCCTGTCTCTCAGAGAGACTTGTCACTTAGAAAATGTTCCCTGATTATGAAACTTTGGCTGAATAGCGCTTGTTCCTGTCTCCAATGTGGCGACACATCCACGAGCCGTCTGAGGAGAATCCCAGAATCTCACATCCTCTTCAGCTCATGAGCGCCTATGATTACGCACAAGCGTGACCCAACACGGTCTCACAGTAAGACTGGGTTGGAACTGTTCAGGTTTACGCAGACAATCTTCACATAGAATTGACTTACAGATATAAAATTAATTCAGTAAAATATAAAGCATTTTATTTAAATATCCATTCATTATTTTACAAGCACAGAGAGCCGCATCAGATGGATGGAAGAGCCGCGGGTTGCCGATCCCTGCTCTAGTTCAAGATATCATTAAAATTCCAAAAGTGCTGAAAAGATTAAAAATGGGGCTTTCCGTGCATATACAATACATTACGGTAGCCACCGGGATTCCCTGTCTTGAGCGCAACAAACCACAACACAGATTCAGAGACGTGCTGAGTTTGTCATCCAAAATGCTCCGTTTTATAACTTTTGAATGGCTGATCAGATTCAAATAATTCCAACGGTTCCTAAAAGTACATAAAAGCAGCTTTCCAACGATCTATAGCATGAAGCAATCAGAGTTAGAGAAAATGTCGCTACGAGGGGAAATCCTGCTGTACAGCCTGATTGAAACGGAGCTCAGCGCCGCGGTGAAAGCGGATAACCTATAAAATGACATGTTGAGGACGCAAACTCAATACATCTCTTTTATTGTGAGGTAATAATTTCTCCGAGTTTTGCGGTTGCGGGCGGGAGTAGACATGCACGCTGCAGGTGCGGGCGGGAGTGTAACACACACCTTGCGGTTGCAGGCGGTAATGGTCAGAAATTCAGCAGGAGCGGGATGAAGAAAACAGTCCCGCGCAGGGCTCTACTGCTGCGTTTAAGTGTTTTAATTTTTTTAATGATTTCGATTAAAAATAAAGGCGCCCGGCCCGGCCCGTGTCCGAGGTAATTGCACAGTCGTTGGCCCGAAGCCCGGCCCGAGGGCCGTCGGGCCAGGCCAACCCGAGGGCCTAGGGCTTCAGTGCAGGGCTCTATTGTGAACGTGCTAATGCAGATGCTATCAGCTCATTATTCAACAATATCAAGATCACATTTTTCTTTAATGCCATTTTAGAGCGTGTTGTTTAGCTAGCTCCCATCAGTCTTATGGTAGAGTAATTAAAGTTATTTACTGGTCTTTAGGAGCTTACACATGAGACTCCAACACTTACTGCTAAATTAAAGGAAAAAATTGGATGCAAATGATCAAACTCACAGTGTGTGATGGTGATGACTCTGCAATTTTAGCTTGATGTTGATAAAAATATCTGAGTTGCAGCTGCTGATTAGATGTGGTAGCCATCAAACTAGGTTGTCTTCTTAAGTTAACCAGCTGTAGAACGTTTGTTGTGATTACCACTGTTTGAATGAAATTAGCCAAATACTAACAGCGCGCATACACACACACACACACGCACACACACACACACACACACACACACACACACACACACACACAGTGATGAGTACAAAACTTTAATCTTAATTAAGGAAAATCTGTCCATCTCTCCAACAGAGCTTGACTGATTTGTGTTTCAGGACTTTGCCATGAGCTACTGGAGGGACAACGGAAGCCCTGTAGAGAAGCTAAATATGGGCTTTGCAACATACGGACGGACGTTTAAGATCTCTTCTCCGTCCAGGGGGGTTGGAGCTCCAGCCAGTGGTCCTGCTGCTGCTGCTCCTTTTACACAGACTGCTGGTTTCTGGTCTTATTATGAGGTGAAAATAACTTACTATATCTTGGAAACAAAAATATACTTTAAATAAAAAAATGTGTAATGACACTCAACAAAAATATAAACGCAACACCTTTGTTTCTGCTCCGATTTTTCATGAGATGGACTTAAAGATCTAAAATTCATTCCAGATACACAATATTACTTTTCGCTCAAACATTGTTCACAAATCAGTCTAAATGTGTGATAGTTATCACTTCTGCTTTGCTGAGATAATCCATCCCACCTCACAGGTGTGCTACATCAAGATGCTGATCTGACATCATGAGTAGTGCACAGGTATACCTTATACTGCCCACAATAAAAGGCCACCCTGGAATGTGCTGTTTTTTTTTTCTTTTCTTTTTTTTTGCTTTATTGGGGGTCTGGAGACTCAGAACCGGTCAGTATCTGGTGTGACCACCATTTGCCTCATGCAGTGCAACACATCTTCTTCGCAAAGAGTTCATCAGATTGTCAATCGTGGCCCGTGGAATGTTGGTCCACTCCTCTTCAATCGCTATGCAAAGTTGTTGGATATTAGTGGGAACTGGTACACGCTGTCGTATATGCCAGTCAAGCACATCCCAAACATGCTCAACGGGTGACATGTCCGGTGAGTATGTTGCCCATGCAAGAACTGGAACATTTTCAGCTTCCAAGAATTGTGTACAAATCCTTGCAACATGGAACCATGCATTATCTTGCTGAAACATGAGGTGACGTTCATGGATGTACGGCACAACAATGGGCCTCAGGGTCTCATCACGGCATCTCTGTGCATTCAAAATACCATCAATAAAATGCACCTGTGTTCTTCGTCAACAACAGATGCCTGCCCATACCATAACCCTACCACCACCATGGGCCACTCGATCCACAACATTGACATCGGGAAAGCTCTCACCCACACAACGCCACACACACTGTCTGCCCTGAACAATGTAAACCGAGATTCATCCGTGAAGAGAACACCTTTCCAACGTGCCAGATGCCATTGAATGTGAGCATTTGCCCACTCAAGTCTGTTACGGCGACAAGCTGGAGTCAGGTCAAGACCCCGATGAGGACGACGAGCATGCAGTTGAGCTTCCCTAAGACAGTTTCTGACAGTTTGTGCAGAAATTGTTTGGTTATGCAAACCAATTGTTTCAGCAACTCTCTGAGTGGCTGGTCTCAGACGATCTTGGAGGTGAACCTGCTGGATGTGGAAGTCCTGGGCTGGTGTGGTTACACGTCGTCTGTGGTTGTGAGGCCGGTTGGATGTACTGCCATATTCTCTGAAACGTCGTTGGAGACGGCTTATGGTGGAGAAATGAACATTCAATACACGAGCAACAGATCTGGTTGACATTCCTGCTGTCAGCATGCCAATTGCACGCTCCCTCAATGCTTGTGGCATCTGTGGCATTTTGCTGTTAGACAAAACTGCACATTCCAGGGTGGCCTTTTATTGTGGGCAGTATAAGGTACACATGTGCACTACTCATGATGTCGGATCAGCATCTTGATGTGGCACTTCTGTGAGGTGGGATGGATTATCTCAGCAAAGCACACATTTAGACTGATTTGTGAACAATGTTTGACAGAAATGGTAATATTGTGTATCTAGAATGAATTTTAGATCTTTAAGTCCATCTCATGAAAAATCGGAGCAGAAACAAAGGTGTTGCGTTTATATTTTTGTTGTGTATGTCACTGTTTTCAGATCTGCAGTTTTCTTCAAGGGGCCAGTGTACAGATGACAGAGGATCAGAAAGTTCCACATGCCACCAAAGAAGATGAGTGGGTTGGGTTTGACAACCAAGAAAGTTTTAGTACCAAGGTAGATGTGTGTTTCTGTGCGGGTGATTTTAAAAGGCATTTAAAGTGGGAACTATAACATGTTTTAAGGGTGAAACTAGTTGAATCCGTTTGATCATTCTTCACTCAGGTCAGTTATCTGAAAAACAATCAGTTTGGAGGAGCCTTTGTCTGGGCTCTGGACCTGGACGACTTCAGTGGACAGTTCTGTGGACAGCAGAACTTCCCCCTCATCCGCCACCTTAAATCACTTCTGGCTTCAGGTTAGAAAATGTCTGTTTTCAGCTGTTGTGTTTTAACTGTACTACTGTACGGGTATAATCGTTAATCTATTCCACCAGATCTTTCTTCTCCAGCAACACAATCCACTCCAGTGACTCCGGTGAACAGCAAAGACCAAGTGCACACCACACCTTCAACCGGACCAACAACGCCTGACAATTTCTGTGCCACAAATTCAGAGGGGCTCCATCCCAAACCGGATGCACCGGGTTCTTTTTACAACTGTGCCAACGGCATCACATGGATCCAAAACTGCCCAAAGGGTTTAGTATTCCGGGGCAGCTGCAAATGCTGTGACTGGCCTCAATGATCCAACAACCTGTTACATGAGTCATCATCAGAGATCTGCCCCAAACATCACTTTAAGTGCAGAGTTGCATTTGTTTATTTTCTAGATCTGAATGGTTTGTTGGGTATTCCATGGTAAAGGAAATCAGCATCTTGTGGATTTAGGGAACAACGAACAGCATTGTTATCATCTCTAATCTTTCAGCTTGTTCTGAATATCTTAACTAGCTTCTTCCATGTTAAGGTGAACTACAACAAATGACAATAAATTCTTTACATGGATGGTGCATCTTCATCAGCTTGTTTTAATTTCCATTTTCATCCATTCATCCACCCTTCCATTTTTATCCGCTTATCCGGAGTCGGATCGCGGGGGCAGTAGCCTAAGGCGAGAGGCCCAGACTTCCCTCTCCCCAGCCACTTGGGCCAGCTCCTCCGGGGGAATCCCAAGGCGTTCCCTTGCCAGGCGAGAGACATAGTACCTCCAACGTGTCCCTGGTCTACCTTTAGGTCTCCTCCCGGTTGGACGTGCGAGAAAACCTCACCAGGGAGGCGTCCAGGAGGCATCCTGACCAGATGCCTGAGCCATCTCAACTGGCTCCTCTCAATATGGAGGAGAAGCCAATTGTTACATCCCCGACAGGTGTTGTAAAAATGTGAAGGATGGGGGTAACATAAGAACTGACCAATCATTTCTTTCAGAGAGAGGAACGCGTTCTGGGTTGGAAATGATGGTTTTGCAGCTAACTGAGTTTACTTAGAGGAACAGCATCAAACACAATCTGTCGAAGTCTACCTTACCCAATCAGAAGACCCCCTTTTGGATCCGAAGTGTCCAGGTGGAGATGGTTTCCTCCAGGCACGAGGTTGGTAGAAAAACCTCTGGCACGACCAAATCGGTCCTGAGATGTCTCCTTGGGTCACTCGACTGGTGGAACTATTTGCGTCTCCAAGTCAATACTCTGAAGGAGTTTTTGCGTCAGCTGGCTACAGTTACATTTATTCAAAGCTTATTCTATCAGCGTGACAGAACAGCAGGTGAAGGTTAGGGACGGCCGTTCCCTTCCTCGGTGATGGTGGTGGGTTCACGAACTGACGGGAAAGCTGCTGGAAGTTTGTTTTACAAAGTCCTCAGAACACGCCCACTCTCAGCAAGAAAGCTTTGGTCATGAGTCAAAAACATGTAACGGCAGTTACCGTTTACTCTGGATAAACTCGCTGTGTTGGATGGATAAGTGGAAGCTGACCTTCTGATTTGCTGAGCACACATTACTGATCATCAACCATAACCATAATTATACCCAAAGCATAATAATTCATTTCATGTAATTAAAATACATTTATACTGAACCAAGTGATTATTTATGATTATAATAAACAGTAATAAAGTCAAAGAGTTTATTAATATTATTATTTATATTAAATGGTAAATGGCCTGTATTTGATATAGCGCCTTCTAGAGTCCTGGAACTCCCCAAGGCGCTTTACAACACAATCAGTCATTCACCCATTCACACACACATTCACACACTGGTGGGGATGAGCTACAATGTAGCCACAGCTGCCCTGGGGCGCACTCAAGGACGTAATTTTCACTTTAGAAGTGGGGGGGGGGGGGGGGGACACGGGGGGGGGGGTATCTTTACAGTATGTTCTAATGGGAAACAGGCTTCAACACAAACACTTGTTTTCTGCTTGGTCCTAGAGCTCAACCAGTGTCAATTTAATACAGCGTAATATTGTTTGTGGATGGTAAAAAGTGCAGGGGTCAAAACTTGACTTTGGAAAAAGTGGGGGGGACATGTCCCCCCCCCAAAATTACGTCCATGGGCGCACTGACAGAGGCGAGGCTGCCGAGCACTGGCGCCACCAGTCCCTCCGAACACCACCAGCAGGCAACGTGGGTTAAGTGTCTTGCCCAAGGACACAACGACAGCGACAGACTGAGCGAGGCTCGAACCTGCAACCTTCCGATTGCAAGGCGAGCACTTAACTCCTGTGCCACCTTCGCCCCCTTGAAGTGTCCTTCTTCTGGGACGGAACAGCAGCAGATATGGTGATATGTTCTTCAGACATCATGACTCCCGGGTTAATCTGTGGCTTTAAAATTCAGTCTGACCCAGCTGGGTAAATGTGACCGTTGCTACAAACTAAGAGCACCTTCATGATGCTACAGTGCAAAGGGTCAATAGCAACTGTTGGTGATTCTTTCACTATATGAAGGCTTTAAAAAGTCAATTTATTTGCCAAAAGAAAAATAAACAGAAGATCAAGATCATTATTACTTTTAATAGACCAGTACCAATGATTTAAATCACTTTGAACCTTTAATGACATCAAACAAAGTCAGTGCCATTGGACCCATCCAGTGCCGCTGACATACAGTAGCTTTAAGATTCATTGTGCTTTGATTCGGGTCAACTCAGGTGAGTTTACAGTGTCGCATCCCAGTAAAATTCAGACGACTTTCCTGGTTCCTTAGAGTTCATGCACAGAGCTGTGTGGCTCAGGGAGACTCTGAATGTCACAGTTTTGTATCAGATTAAAGTAAAATACGACAAGTTCCTCGTAGTTCTTTTTGGAGATCCGCTCATTTAAGCCATGGAACCTGAAAAAAGAACAATAACGCTGTTTTAAAAGTGGCGAGTTATGCATGTTTCCAAGGTTTATTCTTAGCTTTCTTACTGCATAATAGTTTGAAGTTACTGAAAATTAGAAATTAAAATGACATCTAAACTAATGAACAAGGTTATTTTTGTCCAAGCATCTATTCAGTTTTTCTATTTCACACAAGCTTTTATTGAAAGTACTTTATTACTTCTCATTTCTTACCTCTGAATATCACCTGGTTTAAACCAGACAGGAGCAAAGCGATAGATGTCACCGGTCAGGTCCTTGAAGTGTCGACTGTCTGTGTTCCCCACACAGATGCCTGCACGTTAAAAAATTCCGTCAAATACTTCAAAACGCTAAATTATTTACAGCATAAACAGTTAAGTATATCTCGATTGTACCTGGAGCAACAGTAACTGTGGGAAACGTGTCCAACACGGTTTTCTTAATGATCTGAAAGCCGAAGCTCCTCTCATTAGATGAGCTGACAGGCAGCGGCTCGAATCCATCCATGAGCTGGATCTTCACTCTCTCGTCCCCCACCGTTTCCTGGATAACATCTAAAACCTGACAGCTTTATAGTGATCATCTCAAAGGCTGTTTGCAGATCATCTAGACAAGAGGAATCAAACTTCTCATCCTACCTCCTGTACTGAATGTGCCGAGTGGATTCGTAGATTTACAAAAGCTTCAGCTAGAGGAGGGACGACATTCACCTGAAACAAGTCACTCGTATGGGTGTGTGTGTGTGTGGGTGGGGGGGGGGTGACGTGATGATCAGCGGTTTTATATGAACAACCCTACCTTTACTCCTGAATTAAACATGGTTACAGCTGTTGTTGTCCTTACAAAAGCATTCGTGTCTGGTTTTCTCTCCAGAACTCTGCAACACAAACGAGTGCCTTAGAGGTCAGCCCATAGACAGAAGAGGATGTTCTGATCCAAATGTGTGGGCTCCTTACCTGCTGAGGAGTGGTGAGAACAACCACAAGTTTGACATGATGAACTTCAGTGGGAGCTTGAACTAAATGAAAGATCAGCATCTGTGTAAGTACATCGTGTTAAGTTAAATATTACAAACCACTGTTTTTTGCAGAGCAAAGCTGCCTTCCCTGTGGAGGGTAACTCTGAAGTGCCTTTTTTCCCTCCACCTGAACCAATCCTCATATAAACCCCTCTGATCTATATTAAGGTAGTGCGACTCGGGTTGCGAATGACCACAGTCACCAATTCTTGTCATGTGTCTATGCATGTATGTCTGATCTCAGAATTGTGTGTACTGAAACTCTAATTTCCCTCTGGGGTTAATAAAGTGTCTTTGAATTGAATAGAATTTGAATGGAGTTTTCCTACCTTATGAGCCAAATGCTCAAAGGTTTCACGTTCTGGACCAAGGCCAAACAGTCGTGGCATAGGGTTCTCCTCAAGTCTGAGGACAAAACATTTGGTAAATGTGTGCCGAGACTTTGGCAAAGATGTCTAAAAGGGATAATTCAGCCGTTCTAGAGCGTGTTTCTGTGTAAAAGCTTAACCAAGTCTGACCAGCGGTTTGGGGAAAAAGTTTTATTTCCATTGGAAATAAAAGTGCATGGCTGCTGCCATCTTCAAAAGACAGCAATAATCTCCACTATTTCATAGCAGTTCATGCACACATAATTTAATATGCCTTTATAAACCTTTAATTGTTTGAATGCTGTTAAGCATCTGTCTATGGGCTTGACTTGGAAAAGGGTAGAATGCCTTCTCCGGGTCAGGGATGAGGTCCTGCTCCAAGTGGAGGAGTTTAAGTATCTCGGGGTCTTGTTCACGAGTGAGGGTAAACTGGAGCGTGAGATCGATAGGCGGATTGGTGCTGCGTCTGCAGTGATGCGGGCATTTTACTGATCTGTCGTGGTGAAGAGAGAGCTGAGTCAGAAGGCGAAGCTGTCGATTTACCGGTCGATCTACGTTCCTACCCTCACCTATGGTCACGAGCTTTGGGTAGTGACCGAAAGAACGAGATCACGGATACAAGCGGCCAAAATGAGTTTTCTCCGAAGAGTGGCTGGGCTCTCCCTTAGAGATAGGGTGAGAAGCTCGGTCATTCAGGAGGGGCTCGGAGTAGACCCGCTGCTCCTCCACATCGAGAGGAGCCTGTTGAGGTGGCTCGGGCATCTGGTCAGGATGCCTCCCTGGTGAGGTTTTCCAGGCACGTCCAACTGGAAGGAGGCCTAAAGGTAGACCCAGGACACGGTGGAGGGACTATGTCTCTCACCTGGCCAGGGAACACCTTGGGATTCCCCCAGAAGAGCTGGCCCAAGTGGCTGGGGAGAGGGAAGTCTGGGCCTCTCGCCTTAGGCTACTGCCCCCGTGACCCAACTCCGGATAAGCGGATGAAAATGGATGGATGCTGTTAAGCAGTCAAACTATTGTTTTCCTGTTTTTCTTCATTCTTATTCTGCTTCTGTATACATTTTGAACCTTTTCAACTCCTTCAAATATTTAACTATTTCTACAATTTTATTTCAAAACGTTCAGCTCGTTAAGCTCTTTCTGGCAATTACTTTTGGCATTGATATCTTTAAAATTTTTTGAGTTATTAAGCTTTTTCTAAGAAAAATTTCCCATTGAAATGAATGGGATTGGTGAATTTTTAGCAAATTCCTATCACTTTTTTTTATCCAAAACTTTATTGGGTTCCTTTTAACTTAGAGACATCATTCAAAGTTGAACAAACTCACAAGACTTTCCTGTTTAACATATTAAAGAGGCTTTTTGATATCTTTTACGGTTTTTCTAAAATCGCAGGTAGAAGTTGAGGTACGACATGAAATTTTCAGAAAAATTCACAAAAATTATAATGGGGAAAGATAGGAGCGGTGACCCTCCTTTGCTCCATCTCTGGTGTTGTACCGAGAGAACCGTAGGTCCGATTGAAATGAGACACACGCTGGTTTACAGCTAACGAATATACCTTCGTTTTGAGCTATAATTTCTGACTGTACTCCAAACATTGTGGTCGTACGGTTCATTTGTTTGAGAAAATTCAAATTTAAAAAAAATGTCTCTCCTCACTCTAAACTGAAAATCCCGCACTCTAACTTTTGAACTTCACATCTTTCTGTGAACAACTCTTTACTACCCCCAGACCGTTTGGACTACCACAACAAATTATATCTCAAAATGTAGGAATTTTTCTCAGCTTTCCAGAATGGGTTTCATTTTATCTGTAAGTGTTTCGGTTCTTTCTCTAGAAACCTTAGAAGGAGGAGAGACCCTGATTCTGTCTCATTGAAACCCATGTTAAAGGAACAGAGATTTTCTCCTCCGATCGGCTTCAGACAGCTAAAGCACCACTAGACGCACGGACATGATGCACGAGTCCAAAAAAATATACCTACTTCATCTGGCATGTACTCTGCCATTTTTGTTCATCTTATGCTGCTCCTTCAAAAAAAACTACTGGATATAAGCCTAGTGGCCACGTGTTTGTGTAGCTGTCTGTTTAAATTTGATTGATTGAAATGCTTGCTGTTATCATTCACTTTTTATTGTTTATGCCAAGCTAAAGCAAATGGAATACTGCCAAATTAGGAGAACGGCTAGGCTGGTTACGAAAAGCTTTTCCCATTTATCCAACTGAGGAATGTGCCAACAGACTAAATGTCATGAATTTCTTTCCAATGGTTAGAAGGTAGTTCCTGTTTTTGATGCAAAGAAACATGCTTTGAAAGTCTGAAGTATCCCTTAAGTGAAAATGAAGTCATTAAAACAGTGCAGAAGAACTGGAACTTCTACCTTTTGACTGCTGAAGCCAAGATCCCGATGCTGGACTCTTTGGGAGGAATCGAGGAGTGACCAGGAGGCATGGACACACTAAGCTTCACATTGGCTTGTCCCTTTTCAGTGAGACCAATCCTGGAAAACATACATAAAATCAAACCTGTCTTTTTTTTTCATTTGCTGACGATTTTTAACAGAGCAAAAGCTACAAAATAAATATGAAGCTGGAAAATTTCTCACAAAGCAGCAGGTCCTTCAAGACCACTGATGATCCCATCAAGAATTGCCAGACCTTCATCCAGGACAAAAGACAGCTTCACACCACGCTGCTTCATCACTCGCACAATGTTCATCGCCCCTTCGTACCCCTTAATCTATAAATGAGACGCGAGACCAACCTGAAGTTTTAAATGACAAAGTGAACAATACAAGAGTTTTATGAATGTTTTTACTTCTTCATCATGACCCAAACCAATGTAGAACCCTCTGCGTGGCATGTAGCCTTTAATTAGTAAATACTCCAATGCCTGAAGTATTCCCTAGAAACAGAAAAGTTTAGGTCATCGTGGGAATTTCATAAGAATACACAACTCTCCGACTGGTTCTCTCCTACCATTAGGGAACACTTGTCATCTATGGTGCCTCTACCATAGATGAAGCCATCAATCTCTGTGGCAGAAAAAGGCGGAGCCTCCCAGCCATCCGACTCTGTGGCAGGTACTACATCAATGTGGGCCAGCAGCAGGTATGGCACCAAGTCGGGCTGTGATCCTTGCACCCGAAACAGGTGGCTGTAATTAGCCACCAACTCATGATGAACCAAGCTTGAGGAGAAGACTGTAGGGAAGGCTGACAAAGAACAATGAGAACCCTCTCAGGCGGGGGAGTGTTCAGTTTCCTGGTTGGAGTGTTAAGAGTGTGTGCTGTTAAAAAGTTACAATATCTCTCCTTTCAGCACCAAAATCCTACTTTTAAAAATGCAGCCTACATGTTCACTTTTATTGGTTTTAAAACGAATATCAGATAATCAGCTAAAAACTACCAGAGTTGACTTTCTTAAGTTATCTACTCACCGAAATATTAACATAACTTCTCTGAAGTTGCTGCCTTTTGACAAACAATAAAAGCTTACTATTCTGTTCATGATGATAAATGACCTGCTCTTTCATAGCACCTGTAAGGCTCTTTACACTATAGTAAATCATTCATCCAACCACACGCTGGAGGTGATAATCTGTACAGTGGCCACTGCCCTGGGGCACACTGATGGGGGTGGGGCGAGGCTGCTGAGTGCTGGCACTCTGACCACCACCAGCGGGCAGGGTGGGTTAGGTGTCTTGCCCAAGGACACAACAGCAAGTTCTCTGCCATAAGCCAGGACTGATCCTACAACCCTCTGATTGCTGGACAAGCTGCTCTACCTCCTGAGCTACTGCTGCCCAAAAATTCAAGAGCCTTTGATTAATCACGAACACAAAGAAAAGTCCTACAATTTGCCATAAAAGCTTCAAAATGGGTGTTTTATAACTTTGACAACAGTGAAGATTTTAACAATACATTAAAAATAAGCTGTTGAATGAAGTTTCACACAAATAACCAGAGATCATCGAATACTAATACTAGGGGTTGTATGAACTAGTCGACCTCACTGCTCTGTAGTGACTTTTTATGACTGTCATCGACTAGTCGCTGCCACGTAAGACAGCAGGTGACGAGCTCCTGCGCGTCGGGAGGCAACGCGCTGTGCCAGAGCATCGGTACTGACACCCGCCAGTAAAACGGACATTTAACCAAATTGTGACCTTTACTCTCTTACAATTTAACCTTCTCCTCACCCCCATCCTAACCTTAACCAGCTTGCGCATGCAAAGCTCTGACTGTTGACGCGCTCCAGACATCTGCGTCCTGAGCACGGCCACAGTGACATTATCAAATCAGGTGTCGCCACCTCAAAAACAAATTTAACACGCGATTGTTCATGTCGGCTCATTTCCTTTTATGTTTTCTGTCTTTTATTTGTGCCCGATGCGTTTCGCTGCTGTGGAGCAGGGCGCATCACCTGTTTTGTCCTCTGGTGACGCACCTCACTGATGTGGCCGGCGCACACTCCGTTGTTTTTGCGGTCGGTCTTTTAGAACTGCAGTTCAAAGGTAACTCATGAGGTGAATATATATGAACCCATGTAGTAGCCTAGTTTCTCTTAAGGATTGAGAGGAGATGCAGGAAGATAATAAACAGACAGGACAGAAAAATAGTCAAATAAAAACCAGTTAGGTTGTTTTGTACCTGCTGGTTGCAACAGACACCATTGAAGGTAATCAGAACAGAAAATGAAATAATTATTTAATGATTAGAGCAGCAGGAACTCCGAGAGGCTGAAGGCGTATCAGTGAGTTTGGGGCCGCGTGCAGGGGGGGGGGGGGGGGGGGGCTGAAGCAGAAACTACCGTTGTTAAAAGAAATGTGTTTAACTTTGAAAATGTGGGCGCAATTTTAATTGACAAAAAAACTCCAGCGAACCAACCGACCCCCCCACCCCCCCACCCACACACACACACCGCTACAGGTGTATGACGTCATCAACGACTAGTCAAAGTCAACTCGATTTTCATTACTTGACAGTCGACTTTAAAAAAAATTAAGTCATGCAACCCCTAACTAATACCGCATTAAATCACTATGGACTCAGAGAAACATATTGGATTGTCAAGACTTTTTTTTTCTTTTTTGGCATTTCCACCATTTTTCTATGTTTTAAACACCAGTTAAAATTTTGTAACTTTTGAATTCCACTTTATCTTCTAGGACAGTTCTTTTAGGACAGTTTATTTGAAATGATCAGTCAGAAAATATGTTTCTGAGATGGGCTTATATTTTGAAAAACAGCGGCCCGACATTTTACCATAAAGCTTTGAATGCATGCGCCTAACAAAATCGAGCGAGGGCTCACTTTACCGTGAATCAGCGAGTGGAGGCTGGCTTAACCGGAGTGTACTACAACATGATGAATATTACCTTCATCGTGCTGATAAATGAATGAAAAAGTGACGTTTTAAAAGCATTAAACGGATAGAAATTGTTTTTCTTAACCTTTAACAATATAAATGACAGGTGCGCAGTGGGGGACCGGGGGGGGGGGGGGGGGGTTTGATCTGCACAGAAACAAATGTTGTCCACTAGATGTGGCTGTCACGTGTGTTACGTAAACACGTACCGTGCTTCTTAAAGGGACACGAACGTTGCCAACCTACACGCATCTATTCATTTTTTTAAATTAACAAATTTATTGACATGGGAACAATTATCTCGATAAGGGTGAGAAATGTTGATAACGATACATTTTTGATGTATTGCCTGGCCCTAAAAGATTGGTATGCTGAAAATCAGTTAATATTTAAACAAAACATGTTTAGCATAAAGCAGGAGGTTTTGGTTAGTAATTGATTGGGAGAATAACAAATGACTGATTTGGATAGTGTTGATCAGGCAGAGCTTTGTTGCCAGCGTTCCATTGCACAATGGCTTCAAACACGTATATAATAGTATTAGTTTTTACGTAAGCCACTGGATGAAATTACACAAACTGACTGAGCTCTAGTTAAGGCTCTTGCAATTGTTTGTGTATGTGTACGTGCGTGCGTGTGAGTGTATGTGTTTGGGGGAGGGTACATTGGAACTTTGTCCCCCCCGTTAGAAAATCCTATCTGCGCCCTTGCTAGTACGCGTAGATAATGGTTTGGTAAATGAATGGAGACACGCTGTGTGATAAATGACGGATAAACACAGAAGAAACGATATGACTTCGTTTATGATCTTTTATCTCCAGTACCAGCACCTCCCGACTAGGTTTAATAGACATAAACACGACTGGATGCACAAGGGTGGAGCTAAAGGCTGTTAGCTGTAGCTAGCTCAATGTAAACAACACACGTCACGTTATTAGTCCGTGATGAGGACAGTCACGTTGTTGGGGCGGAACTACAGCGGTCAACATTTTGCACGTGGGCGTATTAAGAGGAGTGAATAACTTTCAGTCCTGTTGTTTACAGGTGAGAGGGTTACCTTTACGGAGAAAAGCATCAAACTGACGCAGAGCTGACGCGTTGCTTCCGCTCTCCTGAGACACCGTGGGGATCCGGACTGCCTCTGGGTGGAAAAAACATCAGATCCCGTCTTTGAGAGGCCGGCAGCAGGTCGGTCTGCTAACGCCACGCTTATGTCAGCTTCCTGGCTAAAACTAATTACCTTTAAAGCGAGCTAACAGCTGCTCTCTGTCGTGCTGCTGGATGACCAGAGATATGTTGTCCGTCTTTTCCCAGCGAGCCAGCTGAAGTCCCGCGTTTACGTCCAGGGAGAAAGTCCTGATGGCCGCTATGGAGAATAACACGAATGCAGCCAGGAGCAAGCTGCAAACAGCAAGCTTCACAATCCAGATTGTACTCATCTTTGACTCTGTCATGGTAGCGTGTGGTGGGAGCAGGTAGCAGACAGACAGACAGACGGGGTTTGTGCTGGGTAGACTGGAGCCACCTGCTGGTCCACTCATATTTAACCCTAAACCTCTAAATGGCACGTGGAGCTATAATAAAATGAAGGTTTTTAAATGTCTTCAGAGTAGAGAATAACAATCTGCCTCCAACACTGACTCAGTGTTTACTAACCATTATTCCAAAACCAAAGACCCAATTAATTAATAACTAAAGATCAATATGATTGGAAACTGGTGGTTTTAATACTTGCCTAAATGATTGAAAACATTTTGGACACAGATATTGATAAGATGCAAGCAGGCTTTATCAGAAATAGACATTTCTCTAATAATGTTGGACTAGTTTTATTTCTACCTTTGAACTGGTGCCTGATGACAGTTTTATAAGATCTCCTATTTAAAAACAGACCAACTTTGGTGCAGAGTGGACTCCTACTGGAAAGCTGCTCAGCTGCAACCAATTCCTCTCAAAATACAGCTTTCCTGTCAGCATGGACGCAATTTGGGGGGGGGGGGGGGGGCATGCCCCCCCCCCCCACACACACACACACACACTTTTTCCAAAGTCAAGTTTTGACCCCTGAACTTTTTACCATCCAAAAACAGAATTATGCTGTATTAAATTGACACTGGTTGAGCTCTAGGACCAAGCGGAAAACAACCGTTTGTGTTGAAGCCTGTTTCCCATTAGAGCATAATGTAAAGATACCCCCCCCCCCCCCCCACACACACACACACACACACACACACACACACTTCTAAAGTGAAAATTACATCCATGCCCGTCAGTCCCCAGGAATCATCAATGGTGCTGAATGCCATGCCCCCAGGAACTTTAATGCTGTTAAAACGGTGATAATTTGCCACCTACACAACTAACACTGCAGGTCCAACTTAATCAGCAGTGGGGAGATTTTGCTTTATACAAGAACAGCAATGAACAAGTGCAGGTTGTTCCAAAAAGCTACCGTTTCACAGGGAACATCGCTATGTTCTGGATATCAACTGGAAGGCAGTATGGATGATGCCCAATAAATATTTAATAAAGCAAACAAAGAAAATTCTTCATGAAATTTACCCTGCAAAGTAATATGTATGGTAAAATTTAAGAGACGTTTAAGAAACTAACTCGTCTTTTTTGGTACTGCCTTATCACACAAAGGTTTTAAGACAAGTTTTATTATTCATATTTTTAAGGAAAATGTGTTACTTTTATTAAAGTCCCAAAAGTATTTTTCTAAAACTTAATTCTCTTAAATTCTATATCCATAAATTTAAATTTGCTAGTAAGATACCATATTTTCCTCCTTTTTTTAAAGATGCAAAACTATTTAATTTCACACTTGAACAAAAAGATCCTCAAACAAGTGATGTTTGTGGATCTTTGCATATATTTGAATAATTAAGCCCCCTGGTTGAATGTTAACATGTATTCTACTGTATTGTATATTTGTTCTGTTGATGTATAGTTCCTCTTTGCTAAATAAAAAAAACATTTTTAATTTTGTATTTGCTTTCATTTCTTGCAAGATTATTATATTAACTCCTTTCAGTAAACTTGAGTCATTTTTATTAAATAACCAGAACTTATTTTCTCCGCTGATGAAGTGACAAACTATGAAACAAACATCCTTTATTAAAACAGTTCAAATTCATATCAAAACACAACCCCAATGCTACAAACAATTACATTTAGTTTCTTAAAACTTTGGTTTAATTCCACCTCACACAGTGCTTTGGCGCTAGCTCACACAGCAGAACGTAAATAGGACACAGTATGAAATCACGAACCTGAAGGTTTGTCCTTCTGTTTCTGAGGAAGATGTTTCCCGACTACGTCATCAGACATGGTCATTATGACTTCCCCACCAAATAATCACACTGACACACGTGATCAGACCTTGAATGAGGAGCTCTGTGGCACAAAGCTAATGAGCAAACATCTCACCTGCTGCAGACAGCTCTATGAACAACTTCCGTTTGGTGAAACAGAGATTAATCCTGAGCAAATGAGCAGACGGCTGATACGAGTGGCGCCAAAACCCCAAGTTTCCCTCTTCCTCATCCGTTAGATGATTCTAGCACTTATGATGCTACGGCTAGTCGCAGCTTACTGTGTGTGTGCTTTACATGGAATTACACGTAAATAATGATGGAAAGTGAAATTTGTAATAATGCGATTGATACCTCAAATGCTGTTTCTAAACAACGTTTTACTAAACCGGTTTAGAGGTGAGTCTTTTTAGCCTGACAGCCGTCCACTTTGACCTTTGCCCCTTTCAGAGGAGCTTTTATCCCACCAGTCTCATCAGAAATGATTGGTTTCCCCAACTAACTACAACAGGCACAATAATGGTTTAGAAACTTTCCACAGAATCCCACCTGACCATGTGCTTCATGTCTAACATTATTTATCTTGTCCACAGTCTGATTGAGTTTCAGCATGACATTAAACTCCCTCCTCACCCTCGGACCACTGGTTCAGACTTTCCAGCAAAGCCAAACCGGGGTTGCGGTCCCCTACATTTACATATATGAAGTACAGGACGCACACAACCGTGAAGAACACCAGAATCTGTATGTAGGCTGGAACCAGTCGGTGCTGCACCTCCAGCCTCTCCTGGGTGGTGGGACTGACAGGCGGGTCAGGGTAGGCCAACTGGACGGGTCTCCCAGCTGCACCCTTGATGGGTCTCCGAGGAGCAGCGCTGAAATTCAAGAAAAATGTTGGTAATCCAAATGTAATATTCATTGTTCTTCAATCAGCAGGAGCCTTGAAACGTATTTGAACTGTTTTTTGATGTGTGACACTTACTAGAGCCCCGTGGGTATGGTTCTGGTGTTTGGGAAGAGATCTTTCAAAACATCTTGTACGGGTTCCCGAGGAAGCTGGAAGGAATGAAAAGCCTGCATGAAACCAGAGGAGAAAACTCCGTAACCTCAGAGTGAAGGGAGAGACCAAAGGGACAGAAGACCCGAGGACGAGGGGTTCTCAGGTCTGCACCCATCATCAGTGGCAGAAGGAACGTTTAAACCCTTCAGACTCAGAGAAGACCTCGCTGAATGTCAACAAGAAAATACAAAACGCATTTATAATTTATAAGTTATTCATGACTTCCTTCTCGTGTTACGGTGTAGAATATTATAAGCACATTTTCAACAGGAAGGCATAAAGTCTTTATAATTATGGGACTGATCATTTGGAAAACACCAGGAAGTTCACACATAAATGTGGAATGTCTCTCTAATTCCATCTTTTAGTTCTTTTTAAAACACAAAGGTTTACAACTCAGGTCCGGTTTCGTCAGCCTGACAAATGAAACGTTGCAGGTAAATAAAAGCGCTCTGCGTTTTAAAACCAACTAAAAGATAGAATTAGAATTTCAACACAGCAAGAGCACACCAAAGATGTCTCTCTCGCTCGCTCTAGTCATAAAACCAAAACCTCATTAGTGGTGATTAAAGACACTTAAGTTCTACGTCGTTTTCAGAGACCAACATCCTCTCACCGGTGGCGAACTCCTGCCCAGTTTAAGTGAAACCAATGAATAAATAAACTGTCTATGCCTTTGTTTCCTGTCGACGAGGTGAACTCCAGGGGGTGTGGTACAGCTGCCGGTCCACGGGTCTGAACTCGTCTTTAAGCTGCATGTTAATCAGGAAAGGACAAAGTCAAGAACCGTCACTTAATTTTTGTGGTTTGAAGTGGTTTCCACCCCGAGTGACCCTTTAACCCCCTGTGACCAAATCTGATTACCGACCCTGCAGGACCGCGGGCTCTGCTCCAGCATACTTCTGCTGTTGAACTCTTTGTCTGAACTCGCAGAGAGCGAGCGTCGAATTTCCATCTGCTGTTCAAACAACAGTTCATGTTGAGAAACAGATGCACATAATTAAAAAAAAACAAATAGATGTTTGAAAAGCTGTCCAACGTGAGTTTAGAAGCCTGCAACTTTCCTCCTTGACCATCTGAGTGATGCTGAAGGCCTCGGGTGACGAACAGTGACTGGATGTGACTGACTGAGGTCCAGGTGGCAGCTGGAACATTTTAGATCAGCACGATGACCGCGACAAATGTAAATCATCTAATGCTTAATTATAAATCAGAGGCTGTCTAAGCCAGAAACGTGGAAACTAAAAGTTAAGTAAGACCGGCCTACCCCAGTTCTTAATCTTGTGGAGGACGTTTTACTAATCCCTGCAGGAATCTGTGAGCAGAGAGTCCGAGTCCGCTCTGGTGGTTTTAAAGCATTCTTGGAACTCCACTTGGATCTAGGTTCTTTGTTTCTGGAAGGATCAGCACGCTACACACACAGGGCCAAACACATGATTACACACCTTCCTGTTATCGGACCCTTTAGTGAGAGAATCTGCAGGAATTACCAGCCTCGGCGACACTAGAAAACACTGCGAGTAAACAAAGTCGCCCTCTTGAACGAGCAAATCTCCCTGGAAAACACACACTTATTCCAACTCACTTTACAAACGTAAAGGTGCCTTGGTGGAATTAGGGTTTTCCAACATTCTCTATGCATTAATGCAAAGTTGTGAGTCTGGTTCCAAACGCACCGGACTTACCTTGCTGCTTGGTGGTTTGGTTTGATCCGACATTTCCGCCGCTTCCCGGTCATCTTGTTCTGAACCTGTGAAACCAGATGAGATGGAGGATTCCCTAAAACCAACCATGAACCCAAATAAAGACGGCAGCTCACACCTGATGCTTTGTCCTCATGCCTCTCATCTTTTTCTTCTTCACCTTCACTATCCGAGTACAGAATCCCAATCTCAGCTTCATTTAGCTCCTCCGGCCCAGATGGCTGAAGCAGCGTCCGGAGCTTCCTCTCATACAGGGCCCTGGTGGACGCTGGAACGCATCGGACGCAGAGATGTAAAAGTGGGGACGTCTTATAAATGATTAGAATACTACACCTGAACAGTCTCACCTACAACGGGTCCTGGTTTAACTCCATATTTAAGCAGAGTAACCCTGAGAGCGTCGTCAGTCAGGTCACTTGGGTCAAGCCGTTCTGCCTCTTTTGGATCCTCAGCGTGCAAAAACAGAAAAGTAGATAGATGACATTTTTAAGATGTGAACAAAGCCGCAGGTTTCAGTAATGAACGATGAAAAGAAAACATTTTTTTATCTGTGGATGCTGCTCAGTATTTACTGTTCTTCAGAGTTTGGAACCAGAACTTCCATGAAAACCAAACAACACAGCAAAGTGGGACAAGAAAAGAGGAAAGCGGCTGCATTGGTCTCTAAATGTTTAAACTCATTAACGAAAAGGTGGAGCCTGATGGTGCTTGAGCTAGAGACTGAGCTCGCTGATAAAGGTTTCAGATATTTCACAGAGAATAATCTGTGGCTCATCTATAGATGTGACATCCTCCCAGACTTCATACCAGATCATCATAAATCAGCCACATCCACAACTAACAGTCTTAAATATTTTTAAATGATCATTTTGTAAAAAATTTCTACTGATGTCTCATTTTGATTTACTTGAAATTGTTGTGGAAGGAGAATCTTTTGTCTCCTGGAACTATAATAAAATGTTTTTAGCTCTGGCTAAATGTTGGGATTAGAGTTTGTAGCAGCTGGAATTTCTTGATCAACTTTTATGAATCCAAATGTTCAATCTGCAGCTGAACCACTGGCCAGAGGCCCTTTAGGCAGCAGTTTCACCACGGAACGTTCCGGCAGGCTTTTGTACAAACATAAAAGCGCAGACGTTACTAGAGGTCATGGGTTTCGCTGCATCATGCATTTTTTCAGATTAGCTTTCATTAATGGAAAACTCCCAGGAGGACGGACACACACACACACACACACACACACACACACACACACACACACACACACACACACACACACACACACACACGTTGGAGGCCTTCATCGCCACACGCACCAGTTGCATCCATGCCATTTTCAGTTCAGGGCTGGACTACTCCAACACTATTGGGCCATTCCCATCTGAACCGGGTCGGCCCGGGCCGGGTAGCCCCAGTCGGCCCCAGCCTGGCCCGGTTGATTCCACACATCCTTGCCTTAAGCCCATGTGGGCTGATTCTACCCACCAATCAGAGGCTTGCTCTAATGGAAGGTGTGGATTTGCTGTCAGCAGTGGGTGTGTTGGCCCTGGTCGGCCTGAAGCAGACCCCCTCGAGAAGAGGGCTGAGAATGAGCCTTGGTTGGCCCGGAAAAATACCAGGCCACCCAGATATGTAAACAACCTACGCTACCCGGCCCGGGCCGACCCGGTACAGATGGGAATGGCCCAATAGTCTGCCATAACTCCACTGGATTCCTGTGAGTCTTAGAATAAAGTTCAAAATCTTGATGTTTATGTATTCATGGCACTACTCCTCCCTACACTTCAGATGCTTTATTATTACATCCATGGAAAAATCTCCAGGTGATCTGCATTGAGCCGGTTTATCATCTCAGCCGATTCTGTTTACGTGAAACTTACCAGTGTTTACTTAGATTTTCAACACGGTTTCCTGCCGGAGCTCGCCCGGCAGTAATTCCCCGGGTGATTACGACACCTCTCTCTGTTGCACCAAAGCATAATATGCATTCACAAGTCTGGCGTTGCGGTAATATCAGTACCAAGCATAGTGGACCGAATGCCGTAAAATTCCCGCGATGCCATGCCTAAACGTTCATGAGACACACCGTGGCGGCAGCATTACTCTGATTTGCCTGCACGGGGGTTTTGTCTAAAAGGGCTAAAGCTGTGTGAAGCCTCCTTCGGCTGTGTAAAGCGCTTCGATTAATTAACTGCAAAAACAGCCAAATATTTCTACAGCTGCAAGAAAACAATCTGCAGAAGATTTTATTAAGTACTCGAGTATCAACATTGGTTAATAGTTTGTACATTTCTCTGCTGGAGAAGAAAACAACAAACTAAAATCTAACTGGTTGATCTCAAATAATAACTCTAAAATAAATATGTCAATAATAAGTGAGTTTGGGTCAGTTTACAGTGGAATTCTTGTTCTTTTTTTTTAAATAGTCGATCACATGACTTCGGGTTTTAGTGGGGCTGCTTATGCTGGTGCACATAACAGAGTGTGGCAGGTGGCCGTGGGTCTAGAGGACAGAAATGTCTCATGGGAGGGGTTCAGGAGGCCTGTCCCATAAGGGTTTCATATACATAAATCACTTCTTAGCACTCATTTTCAGACATGTATGCAGAATAGAAAACAGAAGAGTACAGCTACAGTTCATGAGTGTGTCCAGTCAGGACCTTGAAACGTGTATATTGCTTTATCTCCTGCAGGGCTGATTACTGTAGCACTGCTTTCGCTGGGCGGCATTCCTAAAACGCCAGTTCTCAGGACCTCGCATTGGCTTCCAGTTCAGCATAGAATGGATTTCAAAGCTGCACAAGTCATTAAATAAGCTGGGCACTAGTCACAACTCTGATATGTTTGATGTTTAATCTTGGTAGGTCTCTTAGATCTGCAGGGTCTGGCCAGTGGTGAAGAGAATGAAACCTAAACTCGGTGAAGTGGCATTTTCCCACCAACAGACCTGCACCAACCGTAGCAGGCAGGTCTCAAACGGTTGCTGAACGCTGCATGGTTCTGTAGCTTTTCCCACCCGAGTGCTGAGCAGTTGCATTTAAATCATTTTAATCTTTTTTATGTTTCAATCTTTTATATTTTCTTTAGTTTTAATATTTCGTAAGGCTCATTGAATGACCGTTGAGTAAAAGCCTCCTCGAAGAGGTGGAGGTGCGAATGAGGAGGGTAGTTGAAATTCAAACACGCGTATACAACAGTAAAGTCTTTGTGTTCATCTGCATGTGGAGTCTGGAGACCGAGAGGATGTCCAAGTGATGTTAGAGTTTGAAGCTCTGCAGAAATCTGGTTTCTACAGGGAACAGGAGCTTTAAGTGTGTGCTGGGGATCTATTTATATACATATGGTGCAAGAATCTGGATTCACAGGTTAAGGGAACATGAATGTACCAAACTTTATTTGTAGGTTGAACTAAACAATGAGCTAATGAGATCATTAGTTGGGAGTAGAGGAGAGGATTAAGTAAGCTAATGCGCACTCTTTTTGTGCATGTGCTTTAATTGGTTATATTATAATTGTTGTTGTTTTACTGTTCTACTTATCTTTTGCACAAACAAAAGCCTCATCCATCCTTGCAACGTCATTTAAAACAGATTACCGATCCACTCACTGCTCCATCCTGCTCTGGATCGTCTTCATCGCTGGAGAAACCTGCAGCCTGACTCAGATGAATGTGCTTCAGCTGCTGCTGCAGATCGCCCTTCTTCCTGCTGGCTGCAGGAGGCTGCTGCACGTGGTGGGACACTTTCAGAGGACGAACCGGCTCCTCGGTGAGCGGCATGTCGCAGCAGATAAAAAGAGGACGGTTTAAAGCGTTCCCTTTGGAGTCCGGAGCACCGGAGGTTGGAGCTGCACGGAGGAACCCCGCTGCTGCTTCCCCGAGAGCCTCAATCACCGCGTGGATAGAGAACAGCTGCTGCAGCGGGGTGATTGGCAGCTAGGTGTGCGTTCAGCACAGCTAACTTTATGTAATTCATGCCTTAATTATTATAAATAAAACCAAGTTTCATCAAACATTCTCACATTTAAAAATAAAAATGAACCCTCGTTTCGCTCAGAAAACCAAAAGATCCTCACTGGTGCAGCAGAATCAGAACAAATGTGACATGTATGAAGGTTCATACTTCACACCTGAAATGTTGTTAATTGTAGAACTGAATAAAAAAGAAACGAGTGTTAACAGATTCTATAGAAACCTGCTGTTCTTACTAGGATTATTTCAGTAATTCAACGTGATCTGGCATTAAACAGCTGGAGCAGGTGAAGGAACAGGGCCGGACTTAGCCAGCCCTACAAAGGGGTTGCAGGTAGAATATTGGGGGGGAGGGGGGGGGGGGCAGGTTTGGGAAATAATTTTCCAGGTGTCACATACCTCCAAATCCCTAAAATGCATAGAATACTATGCTATCATCATTACAGTTCTTCTATCCACACACACACACACACATACATATATATATATATATGTATATATATATATATATATATATATATATATATATATATATATATATATATATATATATATATATATATATATATATATATATATTATTTTTCCTTTGATCCATTCCTTACTCTACCCTCTGCCTTTACCCGGGCTTGGGACCGGCACAAATAGGACATTGGCTTGCTCCCTATTGGGGCTACATTAATCTTTTATCTATCTATCTATCTATCTATAGAGTGATATATATATATATATATATATATATATATATATATATATATATATATATATATATAGAGAGAGAGAGAGAGAGAGAGAGAGAGAGAGAGAGAGCACTCTGACCCTTTTTCATCAGATCTTTTCAAATGTGGGATTTCTACATGTCATCGCATTTGGGGGGGGGTGGGGGGGGCAGTTACTATTTTTAGGGGGGCATTGCCCCTCCTTGCCCATGGCTACATCCGGGCCCGTGAAGGATGATGATCCATAAAACCAGACCGGAGCTCAGTTCACAGCTTAGGGTCCGGAACTGGTTTTACTATTTAGTAAAAAGCTTCACTTTTCTTTTTAGTTCATGTTTGAAACTAATGATTCAGTTAAACTTCCAAACAAGTAATAAAAAACCATCTTTTCCTTTTATTTCCTGAGACCTGAGCTTTTATTTAGAAAGGGTTTTCTTCCAGCTGGATCAGCAGGACTACATAAGCAGGAAACAACAAACATTCTTTATGAATAATTAGTAAATCAGAATTTTACCTGAACTTCATTGAATAGAGAACGGGTTTTTATTGTCATGAATAAACATAATACGATCACAAAGGCGTCTCCTGCTCACACATCAGCTACAGTTAAAGAACGATACTTGTGCTGAGATAAACTAATCAGACTAAAAGCTACGAGTCTGAACAGAATAAACGATCATTTCGAAGACAACACTTTCTCACGAGGGAACTGGGTCAGAGCAGAGAAAAGTCCATCTAGAACCATAAAAACATTTTAATAAACAGTCTGACTTAATTACTGATTAGATAGATGTATGGCTGACGGGTTGTGGTGAATGATTTCATGTCTTTAATGAAAGAGTCCAGCTGTTATTCAGACGATGGAGGACGGTCACCGCGACAGGCTGCCCACACTTTAGCTTTATCTTTAATAAAAGCACTCGAGACTCGTCGATGTGACCGTTTCCACAAGAACCCACTGAAGGTGTGACACGTGTGAGCCAGAGCCTCTAGTTGAGTGAAATTATGAATCCCTCCAACCAATGATCAGATAGCTGCAGCCTCCCGGTGTGTGTTAGTTCAGGTGCATGCTGCTGGTTCTGACTCTAGCGGTCGCTCCGTCTCCTGTAAACAGATGAGGAGAATCCTATATTTACTGGTACAGATTTGTACTTGTAAACAACAGAAACGAGTGTGGAAGTCAGCAGCCGGTTGGAAAGGTGCAGACATTGACAGTGGACCTGAGTGAGCCACGGAGGATGTGAAGCGTGTCCCCCTTGTGGATGGAATACGTGTTAAAGCTTCTGGTGTAGTGGATGCATGGTGGCGCTGTTGCCTCAGAGCAAGAGGGCTGCAGGTTCAAATCCTGGCTGTGGTCTCCCTGTTTGGAATTAGTGTGTTCTTCTCCTGAAGCCTTTTCTGATTAGCATCACCAAACTGCTTTGACCAAAAACGGCTTTGTGTCATTTTTTATTTATGAAAACTGAGTAATCTGTTTTTTGCGAATAAACTTTTCAAATAAAATGATGTTTCCTCCACTAAAAATGAAAAAAGGGAATAGATCTCTTCACCGTGGCCTGAAACGCTGTTTTCTCCTTCAGTTTGGAGACAGACCACAAAACCCCAGCTGCTCCCCACTTCCAGACCTTCTGACCGTTCGTTGGTGGTTTTAGCTTTTAGAAAAGGTAAACCTGTGAGTCCTGCAGAGGTCACCCTTTCTTAGGTTTTCAGTTTTTGATGCAACACCTCAACACTGAAGTGAAATGAGAGTTTAGCTGTTATTTAATCCTGGATGGGAAAGACGGAGTAACCGAGTAACACATAAACCGGTGCACAGGTCCGATGTTTACATGAAGTATGCAAACATCACATCAGACAAGTTCACACCATAAATAACGGCATGTTTTACATCAGGAGGTGAGAAAAAGTCAGTCTGAAACTTGTACAACATGTCTGAAGATGGTTTCAAATCAAACGTGTCCACGAGAGGATTTCTGGAGAGCCTGAGATCTGATCATCATGGATCGTGTCTTCAGTAATTATTGTCTCTAATGAGCCATGTGACGCTAGCATTAGCATAACTAAGATCCTGAGCTGTTCCTGCTGGGCGATCTTAACCCTTTGATGCATAATGGTCACTACAGCGGACAGGTACTTAAAATTGTTATTTATTTATTTTTGCTATTAAGCACAGCTGTTGAAGACTTTATTGCAGTTGAGCCCCTCCATTTGGACTTCAGTAAGTCAAGCCACCATATTTCATGTTCAGAATGCACGCTGTCCACTGAGGTGGACATGTAATAAATTATTTGTAAATTACATTTTACAAAAAATATGTAAATATGAAATTTGTTTCATTCACACCTAAAGATTAATGAAAAAAATATTTAAAAAGTCATGGTTGAAGATTTCATAATTCATGCATCAAAGGGCTAATAAAACCTGCTTCTGGTTTTGAATAAACACATCTTCTGCATAATTTTCTCTCCTGAATGCAGTCAAAACATCGCCTCATTAAGCAGAAGCCAGCCGGAAAACAGACGGCTTTTTCAGGTTTCTCTAAAACAGCTCAGATGCCATCCTGCTGATCTGAAACGTGAAGCATCAGAATGTCGAGAATTCTGTCACATTCCTGGGAAAATGGAGTTTCACTTCGTCATATGACAAATGGTGATGTAAAGCAAGGATTAACTTAAAGGGAATTGATCCAATGTGGTGAATTTTAGTTAGAAAACATCAATCACTCTGTTTTTTTTTATCCACGAAACTATCAGCAGCTTAGATGTGTGTGTGTGTGTGTGTGAGTTAAGACAGTAAAACTGTGTGTTTCTGCAAGATTTTATTATTCAGTTTTCTGCAACAGCAGCCATTGAGATCTAAAAGAGTGAATTCTACATTTCATTTCCCTTTCAGACCCAAATGCATCTGAGGTGAGAGTCTGGAGCTGTTGGAGCTTTTACAGTCAGGAGGTTGAACGCTCCTTTAACACCCTTGAAGACTACTCAACAGCGACGAGGAGAGCTGGAAAAGCCCTCTCAGGACACTGGATCGGCTCGAACACCCTCCTCTCTAACAGCTTCTCCAGTGGAAGAACATTCAAGTGAAGGTTTGTTATTTTTACTCGCCAACCTGGAACCCGAGATACGTAAAGTTGTGAAAAGTGTTTCCCTCCCAGCAGATTTCTTGTGTTTTCTCTTTGTTCACGATCACCTTCACCTGCGATTCCGGCCGTTTCCTCTTTTTCCGAACAGATGTCCCGGCTGTGCACGCGTTGGTTTTACCTCTGCTTGTGTGGCAACAAGAATTGAGGACGAGCAGGTGGTCTTTGTAATAAAACGACTCA